GCCCTGAACCATTCCCCGACCAGATGAACATGGGCCCCAGAGGGATGCATCCACACATGCAGAGGATGCCTGGTTTCCCAGGTATGATGAACCCTGAAATGGATGGAGGGCCCAATCCTATGCCCAGACCTGGAATGAACTGGCCTGATGATATGCCCAAAATGGGGGATGGGAGGGGATTCCCTCCTGGCCAAGGCATGTTTGGAGGTCCAGGTGGAAGGGTGGAAAGATTCCCCAATCCTCAGTCGGTACAGGAAGCTATGTTCCATCAAGGTATGGGTGATAAGCAAGGCATGGGTCTTACACCTGGCATGATGATGGAGATGAATCGAATGATGGGTAATCAAAGACCCATGGAGCCTGGAAATGGAGGTGGCATGATGTTTCCCAGAATGCCAGTTGATGGTCCAATGAGCCCCTCCTCAAGAATGGAGTTTGTGAAAGGTCTTGGTCGAGACATGGGTGAATTTGGCATGGGGCCTGGTAACCTCAATGTAAACATGGGCCCTAGCCCTCAGATGATGCCCCCTAAGATGAGAGACCCACCAATGAATCTTAGTCCAGAGGAAATTATGAAGATGAGGCAAGGTGGAGGTCCAATGCCTGAGAATGTGATTCCTTCACAGAGAATGATGCAGGGGCCTCCTTTCCCTGACCAGCCCCATCCAGGAGACCTTAACATGGGACCCAACCGACAGTACCCTGGCATGGGTCCCCAAGGCCCTGGAAATCCCAGAGGTCCCAGAGGCGAGCCTCCCTTTCTACCTGACCAAAGAGGTAATGTGGGTGGAAATGGACGTCTAAGTCATATGCCTCCTTTACCACCAAACCAGGCTCCCAACAGCTCAGGGCTTCCGCCCGGCCAGAGGAATATGAGTCGCAAGCCCTCAGACCTGAATGTCCAGTCTGGCCCCGCTAACTCGCCCAATGTCAACCCGCTAAAGTCACCAACACTGCGGCAGGTCCAGTCTCCAATGCTGGGCTCACCATCAGGTAACCTCAAGTCTCCACAGACACCGTCCCAGCTGGCTGGTATGCTTAGTGGGCCTTCAGCTGCAGCAGTAGCAGCAGCGGCAGCCATTAAATCTCCTCCTATGATGGGCTCAGCAGGGGCATCACCCGTCCATATGAAGTCACCCTCGCTCCCTGCCCCCTCCCCCGGCTGGACGTCATCACCCAAGCCACCCATGCAAAGCCCAGGAATCCCTCAGAACAACAAACCACCCCTTAGCATGACGTCACCAAATATGATGGGTGGTGTAGAGCAAGGTAAAATAAAATTTCCTGCCTCCTTAATTGACCATTATGCAAATTGTATAAGTTTACTTTTGAGTATATGTTCATGCGCCATATTTTTGTGTGTATGCAGGAACTTTGCTAATAATACTGTTACAGCAGGACTGTTTTAGCAATGTGTTTGTAGCCACTAAGAGATGTCAAATAAAAGGTCATCGGTAAAAGCTCTTCATCCTTCCTTTTCTCTCCTCTTAACCTCTTCTGCCCTCTTCTCCTGTTCTCAGGCGGTAATCCTCCTCCCTCGGCTCCTCCATCCAGTAGTTCCTCCAGTCAGCCAGGTGGTATGAATGTGCAAGGAAGTCTTCCATCCAGCAGCCCCTACACCATGCCCCCAGAACCAACGCTATCCCAAAATCCTCTTTCCATTATGATGTCCCGCATGTCCAAGTTTGCCATGCCCAGTTCTACACCTCTCTACCATGATGCAATCAAAACCGTGGCCAGCTCTGATGACGACTCGCCGCCTGCTCGATCGCCAAACCTGCCATCTATGAACAACAGCATGCCCGGTAATGTCTATAGGAGTTGATGAATATGCGGTAGTATTATTGGTGTCGTTTCCTGGAGGGCTTTTCCATTAAATCACAATCTTTTTGTTCTCTTTATAGGTATGGGTGTGAACCATCACCCAGGTCATCCTCGAATGATGACGCCTAACTCTTCTGGCCCCATGCCTTCCCTTAGCCCAATGGGGATGAACACTATGGGCTCCCAGCCACTTTCCCATGGCATGCCAAACCAGATGCCCTCGCCCAATCCCATGGGCCCTAATATGCCTCCTCACTCTGGGCCTATGGGTCCAGGCATGATGCCTCATGGTATTATGATGAACCCGGTCTCACAAGATCCTGGCATGGTCAACAACCAGATGATGTCACAGGGACGTATGGGTCTTCCTCACCGAGGACAGGGCTTCCCCCCTGGACAATCACCTCCACAACAGATCCCCTTTCCTCACAATGGTCCTGGGCACCAGGGTGGCTTTCCTCATGGGATGGGTTTCCAAGGAGAAGGCGGCCCACTGAGCAGGATGAGCAATATGCCTCATGGACCTGGTGGTGAGCCAGTTATGTGTAAACCTAATACTCCAGGAGGCCAGGAGTTTAATAACATGCCGGGTGTCTTCAATGATTCGGATCTACACGAGGTCATGCGACCAGGTGCGTCAGGTATCCCTGAGTTTGACCTCTCTCGAATTATCCCTTCAGAGAAGCCCAGCCAGACTCTTTCCTACTTCCCTCGTGGTGGGGATGCCCCTGGTGGGAAGCCACCACACCCGTCTGGCCCACCTGGCTTTCCCCAAATGCAGGGGATGATGGGTGAGGGCAACCCAAGGATGGGCCTCCCCATGCAGGGAATGGGTGGTCCTCCTGGCCCTGGACATATGGGACCACAGGACATGCCCATGGGTAATCCAGGCCACAACCCTATGAGACCCCCAGGTTTCATGGGTCAGGGTATGATGGGGCCTCAGCACAGGATGTTGTCTCCTGGCCAGCAGCCAGGAATGATGGGAGGCCCTGGAATGATGCAGGGAAAGGATAGGCCGATGTACAACCACCCTGGCCCTGTAGGCTCTCCTAACATGATGATGTCACTACAAGGGATGAGCGGTCCTCAGCAGACTATGATGATGCCCTCTCAGATGAGGCCTCGAGGAATGGCAGCAGATATGGGCATGGGATTTAACCCTGGACCAGGGAACCCTGGGAATTTAATGTTTTGAACCTCCATTACAGTTATCAATTAACAATCGAGAAACTGTTTTAACCTGTGAAATAGCAACCTTCATAATGAAATACAAAAAGAAACTGCGTTCTTAAGCAGATATGTATGGGAACCAGGACATTTTTTTGTGCACATACACACCCTGACCTGGTTGGAACAAGGTTTATAGCTGACACAGCAATGGGTGTCCATCACAAACACATGGATGTGTTCACAGGGAATCTTCTCCAATGGTAAAGTCATTTAACAGGTGGAAGTGTGAGAAGCCAATTGTGCTTTCCTCAAAGTTGGGCTCAGGTCCGGCACCATTTGGAAGGTACTTTTTCCTCTAACTTGGGAATGTATATGGAATTTACAAGACCGACTCGTGTCAAGGATATTTGCTTGACATTGTGGCATGATGCCACATATAAGTCTACAGCAAACCAAGTTTGAACGTTTAGGGGCTTCATTGTACTTTTATACATGGGTGGAAACCAAGAAAGATTGTTGGAAAAAAAAAAAAAAAGTCCAAGAACTGAAAGAACAGACATGAAAATGGAAAAGTCAAGGAACATTTTGTCACAAGGTGCACCGTCTTGGCTATATGTTTACATCTCATCGCATCACTTCCCTCCAAACAGGAAATGCTCTTTATATGTGTGTACTGTACTTGTGTTGTTAAAGGGATTCTACCAGTGATTTCTATAGTTTTTTTTCCATCTTCATTTGTAAAGGAGGGATTGAGGTGGTTGTCTGTGGACAGTAGGTGACACAACAACACCACGAAATACTGTGTACTGTGGTGCGTACAGAATATTTTAAATTTAATTTTCTTTGCTACTCCAGTGTATGATAAAACCAAACTAAGACCTCATACAGATCATAGTATTATTAAGAAAAGCACAAACAAGAATTAACTGTAAAGAATAAAGTGTTTTCTTTTCTCCTTTTTTTAATTGTAGAGAAAAACACTTTGACCGTAAGTAGGAGCAGTAATCAGATTTATGCAGTGTGGTCTCCCGTTCCTGTTTTAGAAACTTCTGTAAGCTGGTCTGGGTACAGGTGAGGGTGACTCTGGAGGGGTGTTTTTGAACCCCGTAAACCAGCACTCAGTTCTGCAGTGACGCTCAGGCTACTGTCTGCATATCCATGTCTGTTTCGACAAGGACTGTCTCTGTTTGCCACCACTGCGGAATACATTGAAAAGATTTCTTTTTTTAAATTGCTTGGCTGTGTACAGCTATACAGTGCAGCGCTGACAACATCAGAGCTACTGGAAAGGTGGGCTTTTTCTTTTTTTTTTGGTCTTTTTTTTTTGTAGAAAACAAATGATTATTAAAACAAAAACAGAAAAAAAGCTAATAGGTTGTCCTCTTGTCCCTGCCCCTCCTGTGTTGATGCTCGTCATGTGTAACTCCATTGAATTTGGTACTGAACCACTTCCTAAGACTGGGCTGTGGTGTTGGACGACAAATAAAATATATTGTTTGGTATAAAGAGTCTCAATGCCTTTGTGTATATCTCATGGCTCTTTATGGTCTTCCTCTGCCCCCTAGTGGGAATGTAGGTTATTACAATTTGACTACCAGTTGCACAAAACCAATAAGACATGATTTTGGTGATCTGTTATGGTTTGTATTTATGATTTGAGCTAGTATATAACATTTAGCCCATTTTAGAAGTGGTGTAGCAAGTGTTTGTGATCTAGTCTGGTACTAAAATGGTTTAAGGTGTAATGTAAATTCCACAAAGTGACCTTTTTTGAGTAATTTAATTCGCATTTAACATGTAATAAGCATACTTCAGGTTGCTTTGGATAAAACCATGTGTAATAATAATGAATTTAAAATAATGAATTTGTGATTACTCATGTACAGCAGCTTCCCAGCTGAATTTATATATATATATATATAATTTTTAAAAAAATAATCAAATTATTTTAAGATGTAAATGATGGTGAATTTTAACATTTAACAGATTCTATATTACCAGCTTATGGATAGAGGGCAGTCGTGGCCTGATGGAAGGAGTCAGTTGCCGGTTTGATTCTCAAAACGGCAGGAACATGTAGCTGGGGAAGTGAATGAAAAGTCTTCCACCCTCAATACGCATGACTGAGCTGCCCTTGAGCAAGCCACCTAACCCCCAATCGATCCCTGGGTGCTGCAATGAATGGCTGCCCATTACTCCGGGTGTGTCCAGCATCTGTAATGCGACTGTATATTGGAGAAAAATGGGTAAGTTTGGCTTGAATCTGTGCTGGAAGTGGATCAGTCCTTTTATATCTTCAGTTGCTTTTCCCCCCCAAGTTCCGCATGTTTGCTGTGGTGCTATGAGACAACACGTTGGTGAAGAGTGCCTTCCACTGCAGGGATAATTTTAGCTGAGATTGTTTAACAGCTGCTGCAAGTAGACTAGCTCACTTGTTTGGTCCCTATTTATCTATGAGCAAAAAAATGTGAAGCACTTCAGTGTCAGGATGTCAGCACATGACCTATTAGCTTACACCAAACACTCTGATGAGGGTGAGTCTTGCTCAACACTACTGACTAGCATGATATTGTAGTGGAGAGTTATTGCGCCATCTTGTGGTAGCGATGCCATGGTTTGTTTGATGTAGTTTGACATAATAGACCGTATTCTTAGCAGCGCCATTTTTAATAGGAATGAACCTGAGGTTGTGTGAGGCATAGACTCATTGAGTTGTACTGTTTTTGTCTGGTCCTGCCGACGAAAAACTGCAAAAACACTTTTTCAAGAAAGTTCATAAAAAAACAAACAAAAGCAGACATCATAAACAGTGGAAAATTCTAAGTTACGTAGGAGCGTTTTTACAGTGGATGCTGTTGAAAACACGGTAAGTATATCCCTCACAGCCTCGCTTTCATTCCTGTCATGGCGCTGCTCTGAATAAGGTCTATGCCACGTTTTTTAATTTAATTTTTTACTGTATGGATGTATTGTTCGGATGGATTTTATTTCAAAATCTTTATTGAAAAAGAAATCACCCATGCTTGTTAAACTGAATTCATTGTATGCTGGCAATTTTAGATTTTGCAACATCTATCTTTTCTTCATTGTAGGCTACAGTAATAACATTAAACAATCTAGTTACAAATATAGGATAACAAATGCGAACGTGAGTTAAAATGCATAAATTTCATATTTTCAGGCATAATATGATGAATTTTGATGGAATTGTTTCTGCAGAGCTGGCCTCTTATGACAGTATTCACAGTAATGTTTCCTTTTTGCAGTACTATTGCATGTCACTATAGTTTCACACATTCAAACATTCAAAAGTTTGTGCAGTCACAGTGAGTGTTCAAAAATGCAAAATGTCTGTCAGAATGTTAGTTCTACATCTATTTTCCATTTAAGAACTGCTTTCGACCAAGGTGTGTCGCGTTCCTTTTCTCATCGGCAGTCCAGAATTTTCAGCAAATATATAATCAAGTATATCATAAACATCACCTATAACATCTCATTTGCCAGTAAAAAAAATCCAAAGTCAGTGAAAACATCTCAATAGTGCATTACTGTTTAGTGCATTATTGGTTAACTTCAAAGTGAAATTGTGGTATAGTCAACAAATTCAAAGAGAAAAAGAAGGCAAATTCAAAATTTCCAATGCATAAGTCATAATGCAGGCGACGAAAGTCGCATTGTTCGCAGTAAGACCGGGAACATGTTTAAAGAATTAGGGGCCAAGCACCGAAGGTTCGTAGGCACCTATTGTATCTGTTCCGGTTCTTATTATTCTTCAGTTTCTTCTTCTTCTTCTTCCAACTGGGCGTCTGGCAGCCCATAGACCCATTTGCAGGAAAGTTGTTTTGGTTTGACATTCTGATAGAGGACAGTCTTCACATTGAATTACACCAATTTTGGTGTCTCTAACTCATTTCCTCTAGCGCCACCACCAGTCCAAAGTTTCACTTATATTATGCTAATAGCTTTTGAACAGTAAGGCCTATCAACAACATTTTTCCTCTTGTTCCTGAGCTCATGCCGATTCGATTGCACCCTGTGACGTAATTTTTCGTCAGAACAAAATGGCCACCATTTTGAATTGTAAAAAAAAAAACTACTTTTGCAAACTCGTCCTAGACGGTTTGTCCGATTTTTCACCAAAATTGCACCAGATCATCTCCAGGCACTGCTGAAAAAAGTTATGGAATTCAAATTGATTTGCGTAACTGATAAACGCGCAAACTAATTTTACGTAGCACTTGCGAAAACACACGTAAGGAAGTATCTTCGCAACGCTTAATCATATTCAGACCAAGCATGACCTGAGGCTACATGCTGCGTTTCGGCGCAGCGCCACCTACTGGTCCGGAGATATGAAAAATGGTTATTTTTGCTCATAACTTCTGAACGGTTTGTCCAAAAATCATAAAAGGAGTCTCGTTAGATTCAGGGCGTCATGCCGAGTCGAGTGATCCAATTTTCCCAGATCGGCCATTTTGGCTGTCGACCATTTTGAATTACGTGCTAAAATGCTGTATTTTTTGAATGCATGAACGAATTGTTGCGAAACTCGGTATGGGTCATCAGTACGATGTCCTGAAGAAGCCTGAGAAGTTTCAAAACAGCGCCACCTAGTGGTAAAATAGGTGAAAAACGTCTTTGTGCTTGGCCCCGGTATTGCTGCTTGCAGCTATATTTCCATTTTGATTTCATGTTGACTTTTCAAAAGTTGATGATTTGTCTTTCTATGCATCACTCTCATTATGCATATTATGTGAACTGATATTCTGTCTCTGTCTTTTTGACAGCAATGACACAGACAAGTAAGTGCAAGTGCCAAAGTATAGCATGTTTGTCTAGTCACAGTAGAGTAGACGACCCTTTTCTAGAGATGATCGGTCGGTGCTATACTGCAAGGTCATCCGGCCTCATGCGGCTGCTGGTCCCGCTGCTCCTGCTAAACCTTCGCTTGTCCTCATCAAATTCCCTGCTGAGAAATGAAGGCGAGGCGCATGAATCAGGCGTCTCTGTGGGCGCTTGCGAGAAGCTCAAGAAGTTGACCCCTAGGTAGTCTTGACCTCGGTGGCGTTCGGTAACCATGTTTGCCGAGTTCTGTTGGTGCACCAGGCGGTCGTGAAACGGCGGACAGGTTGGATGTATAAGCGAGTGTGCGTGTGTCTGGATAGTAGGGGAAGACGGTGGCGATGTCAGGCACTGGTTGAAGTCGGGAGGTGGAGTACAGGCTCGGTTTGGCGCGGGCGGGTTTGGAGAGACTGCAGCCACGGTGGACGGCGCGATCGCTCGTCGTTTGGAAGTCTTATAATCGTGTAGCCACCTCTTGCACTGCTTCCACGCCAAATGATACAGTTCCACGACACTGAGAAACAGAGACACGGCGGCTACCGCCAGCATGAACACAATGAACACGTTCTTCTCCGTAGGTCGTGAGATGTAGCAGTTGACCGCATGTGGACACGGAGGAGCCTTACACACGTAGAGCGCATTGAGGAAGACTCCGTAGATCAGATACTGGACTATGATGAAGACCACCTCCATTACGAAGCGGATGAGGATACTGAGTACGTAAGTTTGTAGCAAAGCTCCCTTCAACCGCACCTTCCCACCTCCACCTTCATCCTCCTTCCCACAGTCCTTGTCTTTTTCTGGGTACTTCTCGCCATCTCCGTCTTCCTGCTCTTTCCGCTTCTTTTCCTCGCTGCGGACGCTGTGCATGGCGTGTCCCATGTAGATGAGAGACGGCGTGGACACGAACACTATCTGGAGCACCCAGTAGCGTATATGCGCGATGGGAAACGCTCGGTCGTAACAAACGTTCTCACACCCGGGCTGCTCCGTGTCGCAGGTGAAGTCTTCCTGCTCGTCGCCCCACGAGGACTCGGCAGCTGTTCCCAGGACCAGGATCCGGAAGATGAAAAGAATGGTGAGCCACACCTTTCCCACCGAAGTCGAATGTTCCTGGACTTCTTCTAGAAAGTTCCCCAGCAGACTCCAGTCAGCCATGACTAGTCAGGAGAGCCTGAGAAAAAGAGGTAGTGTGAAATGAAGGGAGCGGAATAGCATACTATACTCGTACTGTTTCTGTTAAAGTAGGATATGGGAAAAATAATAGTAGTAGTATGCAAGTATGCTATTTCGAATTCAACCATAGTTTGTATAATCATGCCAGCCTCTGCCTAGTGCCTTCTCATGCTATTCTAAAACAAGGACAAGGATGTCAAACTTGCAGAGACTGTATATTTGGGTTGTGTTTGTGTTCTTCGATACAAACTTTTCCCACACACTCAAGTGCTGGGAGTCTGGGAAAAACGAGGCAAAAGAATTTCAAGGAACCTACAGCTAAAAATAAGTGATGAATTTGTTTTTCTGGGATGTTTCCTGTTATCATTCTAAAGCCATATGTATGTTTGCTCATAGTAACATTCCCCATTATTGAACTTATTTTGGCATATTAAAATCCAGTAGATGTGTTTAAACAGTAGTAAACAACATTGTGCTGCATTCGACTTTAGCACAATAGCATCACAGTTCAGCTGCTAAAGCTTATCAAATGTAAATGTCATGGGAAAAGTTCCATTTGTCCTTTAGGGCAGGGTGTTGCTGGACAAACATGTTTATTGTGTAGCTTTTTCGACTCTCTGTTCTGTCCTTTTACACCAATTACCAATTATTTAGTGTAACAATATTGCTTATTTCTCTGAGTCTCTCTGTCTGTCTCTCTGTCTCTCTCTCTCTCTCTCTCTCTCTCTCTCTCTCGCACTCACTCACACTCACTCACTCACTCACTCACTCACTCACTCACTCACTCACACTCACTCACTCACTCACTCACTCACTCACACTCACTCACTCACTCTCACACTCACTCACTCACACACACACACACTCACTCACTCACTCTCTCACTCACTCTCTCACAAACTCACTCACTCTCACTCACTCACTCACACTCACTCACTCTCACTCACTCTCTCTCTCACTCACTCACTCTCACACTCACTCACTCACTCACTCACTCACTCACACTCACTCACTTTCACTCACTCACTCTCACTCACTCTCTCTCTCACTCACTCACTCTCACACTCACTCACACTCACTCACACACACACACACACTCACTCACTCACTCACTCTCTCACTCACTCTCTCACAAACTCACTCACTCACTCACTCTCACTCACTCACTCACTCACACTCACTCACTTTCACTCACTCACTCACTCTCACTCACTCTCTCTCTCACTCACTCACTCTCACACTCACTCACACTCACTCACACTCACACACACTCTCACACTCACTCACACTCACTCACTCTCACTCACTCTCTCTCTCACTCACTCACTCTCACACTCACTCACTCACTCACTCACTCACTCACTCACTCACACTCACTCACTTTCACTCACTCACTCTCACTCACTCTCTCTCTCACTCACTCACTCTCACACTCACTCACACTCACTCACACACACACACACACTCACTCACTCACTCTCTCACTCACTCTCTCACAAACTCACTCACTCACTCTCACTCACTCACTCACACTCACTCACTTTCACTCACTCACTCACTCTCACTCACTCTCTCTCTCACTCACTCACTCTCACACTCACTCACACTCACTCACACTCACTCACACTCACTCTCTCACTCACTCACTCACTCTCTCACAAACTCACTCACTCACTCACTCTCACTCACACTCACTCACACTCACTCTCTCACTCACTCACTCACTCTCTCACAAACTCACTCACTCACTCACTCTCACTCACACTCACACTCACTCACTCACTTTCACTCACTCACTCACTCTCACTCACTCTCTCTCTCACTCACTCACTCTCACACTCACTCACACTCACTCACACACACTCTCACACTCACTCACACTCACTCTCTCACAAACTCACAAACTCACTCACTCACACTCGCACTCGCACTCACACTCACTCACTCTCATACTCACTCACTCATTCACTCTCTCTCACTCACTCACTCACTCTCATACTCATTCACTCTCTCACTCACTCACTCACACTCACTCACACTCTCGCACTCACTCTCTCACAAACTCACTCACTCACACTCGCACTCACACTCACTCACTCACTCTCATACTCACTCACTCATTCACTCTCTCTCACTCACTCACTCACTCTCATACTCATTCACTCTCTCACTCACTCACTCTCTCTCTCACAAACTCACTCAATCACTCTCTCACTCACTCACACTCGCACTCACTCACTCTCATACTCACTCATTCACTCTCTCTCACTCACTCACTCTCATACTCATTCACTCACTCACACTCTCACACTCTCTCACTCACTCACTCACTCACTCACACTCTCTCACTCTCACACTCTCTCACTCACTCACTCACTCACTCACACTCTCTCACTCTCACACTCACTCACTCACTCTGTCTGTCTCTCTCTCTGCCGTCAGAGTCTCAGTCCTCCAGGGGGTTTACGGAAAGAGGGAGCCCAAAACAATCTCATCACTTTAACATGAGAACTTGGGAAAGACTGTGTGTTTGAGCAGTTTGTCTGTGGGAAGCATTAAAAAAGTATAACACTGTGTAAACAGACCTTATTCTGATTCACATTATTTTAAGAAAATGTTTCAGCAAGGAGGGAGGTGTTTATCTTTATCGGCTGGCTCCTCTAATCTAACCACACACAGAATGAACTTATTGCTTTATAACTGATTTGGTGTGTGTGGTCCATGAGCGCGCACACCTCTGGTTGCAGTTTCGCTCGTCGCCAGAGGGGGCGTAGTTCTGCAAAAACTCAGAGACTTGTGCAATGCTCTTTTAAATTATTAATATAGACAGATATTTATTTTCTATATTTTATTATAACAATTGGCATGCTTTCATTTATTATGCCTGAACATAATTACATCCTTATATGCATGGTTTAGGCTACATGTGTGTATAATCAGACTTGCATGCATTTATTATTTATTATTCTGGAATACATGATGATTTTTCATTTGTGGCATTGAGAAGTCAAACCTATTTTTGTAGAATGGCTGTAAGATAAGAAAGATAATACAATAATTTTAATTAAAATAAGATGTTTTATTATTGATCAATAAATGGGAAAATGTACAGTCATCTGGTCATTATCCAAAAATAACCCTGATAGACGACCATCTGTTGCATAGTTTACTATATGTTCAGATTTATTGTTATATATTCAGAATTTATATAATTATTTCCTGTTTGCTATGTATTGTAATGTTATCAACAAATACCAGGAAGGGCAGTTTGGCATCAGATGTGGGAACCATGTCTTTAAAGACAGAGTGAATGTGGTGGAGTCTCTATATAAGAGTCTCGCTCCCCTCCTCTTTAAGGAAACAATCTTAAACAATATAATTTCCCTCTTACAAGGCACTTGAAAGGAAACTGACTGGGTTCAAGTCACTGGGGCCAAAGAGGTTAACGGCACATGTAAAAGACTGTGTGTATTCAGTCATTCAGTTCAAATGTTTTACTAATGTTAGTTATATTTATTTTATTTTTAATATAATATAATATATGATATATTTATTTTATTTTTTAAATTTTCAATAACATAATATAGAAGTTATATTTAATTTTTTTAATAAATTTTTTTTTTAGCATAATATAATGTAATATAATAGTAATATAATGTAATGATTTCCCAAACTGGGGTTAGTGAGTTGATGAAAAGCTTTTAAATAAATTAATCATTTTTAAAATGAAAACATTGCAAATATTAACATTTGTTAATTAACATTAATTATGATTGTCATGATAATGTCATGATTATATCATGTCATGAGACTATTAAATCAGAGAACGATTTAAATCTGTTTTTAAAATTTTAATTGTTAAAGGGATAGTTCACTTTGAAATTATTTTTTTGGTATGTTTTATCTTACCTCAAGGGTATCCAAGATGTAGGTGTCTTTGTTTTCACAGTATTTTCAATTTTGATATTTTTAGGTCAAACCGTTTGTGTCTGTCAGTCATATAATGGAGGTCTATGGTCACCATCTCAAAAAGCATGCACAGAGAAGTCCAAATTAAACATGATTTAATGACTCGTAGATGTAAGTACACATTGATGGCCTAAGACACGAAACGAGCGGTTTGTGTGAGAAAATTAACAGTTTTTATATCGTTTTTACCTCATGTAACTACAGCCACGTCCAAGTGAGCTGAGGGCGCGGGCGCTTCGGTCTGCGCAAGCGCCGGAAGTGATCTCTCCCTTTTGTACGTCACTCATAAACACTCGTTTTGTGTCTTAGGCCATCAATGTGTATTTATATTTACACGTCATTAAATCATGTTTAATTTGGACTTCTCTGTGCATGCTCTTTGAGGTGGTGACCATAGACCTCCATTATATGACTGACAGACAAGAACGGTTTGACCTAAAAATAACAAAATTGAAAAGACACCTACATCTTGGATGGATGCCCTTGAGGTAAGCTAAAACATACCAAAAATTAATTTCAAAGTGAACTATCCCTTTAAACTTAGGGTGTATTTCAGCTAACACAGTTTTGGGATATGATATATTAAATAATATGATCTGTGATATATATGATATTCAGTTAAATTCAATTCACATTTTTTGAGTAACTCTTTTCACAACATATCGTTTCAAAGCTGTATCTTAGCTGTATTTAATCTTAGCTGTATTTATTTTTGCCAAGTTATCTTAACGTGTTAGTTTAATGCTACTGGCAAGTAAAGTAAATTATTTGTCCATATCCACCTAATTGAAGCTTATGCAAAGTTGCAAACCAGACATTTGTCTGTGGGTTTTGTTGCAGGGATGTTTTTAGGTGATTTGAAAAGTAGGCAATGGGTCAGCAAACTGTACATCAACAGTCTACTGTATGTGAACATTTCTCAGCGCTATTTCTGTGTCAGTGAAACTTTCAGGAGGAAGGTGGTGCGACCTACTCCCTTCTCTACTTGTTTACCCGAGGAAGGGAGAACAATGTGGGAGTTTTTTTTTTGTGGTTTTTGCGGCGGGGCATCTCGAGATAGAGCTGGTAAACAGCCATCAAGAAGAGAACCATGCTCTTCCGGTCTCGGTTTGAGTCAGCACTGTGGCAGACGGCGCAAAGCCTGCTCGCTACATAGATGTGGAGTTCAACGTCAATAGCAAGGCAAATACAGTAGAGTTGTGAATGTATAAAATACAGTCTAAATTGAGCTTTCTTTTAATTGAGTGGATTCAACAACTAAGCCATTATTGCAAAATGAATCCAGGCATGGTGATAAGGGGTCTCGTATCACTCTGAAGGTGTTTATTTTGTGATAATGTCATGTCAGGCTGGCTGTGTTTTATCCCGCTTGTTTGAGTGACACAGAAAAAAATTAATCTCACACAAGTAACCAGTGATATTTCTTCTTTCTCTTTTAGTTTCAGTGAGAAGTCTTAACATGACATTCTGTGTGATTGTATGTACTTATTTATTCATGCATTCCTTTGTTTGTATGTTTTATTTGTTTTTATTCATCAGGTAACACTTTAAAATAAGGTTCATTAGTTAATCTTAATGTATTAACTAACATGAACTAATCATGAGCAATACTTTTGTTACCGTATTTGTTGATCTTTGTTAACGTTAAATAATCAAAACACAGATGTTCATTGTATGTTCATGTTAGTTCATATTCATGTTAAAACAAATGGTCACCACCTCAAAGAGCATGCACAGAGAAGTCCAAATTAAACATGATTTAATGACTCGTAAATGTAAGTACACATTGATGGCCTAAGACAAGAAACGAGCAGCTTGTGTGAGAAAACGAACAGTATTTATATCATTTTTACCTCTGTAACCACAGCCACAAAGAGCCCGTGCCCTCAGATCACTTAGACGTGGCTGTGTAACGGTAAAAACGATATAAATACTGTTCGTTTTCTCACACAAACCGCTCGTTTGGTGTCTTAGGCCATCAATGTGTGCTTACATTTACGAGTCATTAAATCATGTTTAATTTGGACTTCTCTGTGCATGCTCTTTGAGGTGGTGACCATAGACCTCCATTATATGACTGACAGACAAGAACGGTTTGACCTAAAAATATCAAAATTGAAAATACTGCGGAAACAAAGACACCTACATCTTGGATGCCCTTGAGGTAAGCTAAAACATACCAAAAATTTATTTCGAAAGTGAACTATCCCTTTAACATAAACTTATTTATTTGTTATATTTACTTAATTGTTTTTTTATTTGCATTTATTTATTTATATATAAAACAAATTTTTTGTGTGTTTTGTAAGTTTCAGATCTTTTGACAATACAACGGAACAATTAGTTAATTGTCTTCCAGATCCTGGAAGTGAAATCCTGAAGTTTCCCGATCAGCACAGAGAGGATGAGTATTATATAGTTGAGATTCATCTCTGAACAGATGGACAGTGTCTGGTTTACAGTCCAGAAAATCTAGCAGAAGATGAGCTGCAGGAGTGTTTCCAGAAGAATGGGTGTGTGTGTGCATAAGTGTGTGATCAGCCATTTAATGCAGCTGACAGCGTGACTGAAATAACTTGATGACATTTGGAAACTAAAAACAGCAAAAGGAGCAGCTAGGCTAAGCTTTAGAGATTGAATTCTGCCATCGAATCGTCCCTCACGAGTCCGTTCAAGGCTCTCACTGTGTGTGTATTCAGAGACGCTCTCCTAACCATCATGACCCTTCATTCATCAGGCTTTTCCTATTAGTTCCCAGCTTGTTCATTTATTAGAGAGACCAAATATTGATCTGCAGCCAAAGTCTGTAAGGTTAGATTAAATGAGATAGTTAGATCAGTCAAGCACCTATTGAATTTCATATATTCATATTCAAAATTCAACTCCTTAAACTAATTAAATTCAGGAAGGCGTGTGTGTGTGTGCGCGTGTGTGTGTGTGTATGTATGAATGTATGTATATACTAGGGATGGGCAACGATTAATCGCGATTAATCGCATCCAAAATAAAAGTTATATGTGTGTGTGGTGTGTATAATTATTTTGTATATATAAATACTAACACATGCATGTATATATTTAAGAAAAATGTGTTCTTAATATATCAAATATTTATACATAATATTAATTACGTATAAATATATATATAAAAGTATATACATGCAAATATTTCTTAAATATATACATGCATGTGTGTTGTGTATATATATATATATACAAAAATAATTGTACACACCACACACACATATATTACATAAACACAAAGTTTTATTTTGGATGCGATTAATCGCGATTAATCGTTGCCCATCCCACACACACACATACATATACATATATACAGTATATATATGTATGTGTGTGTGTGTTTATATATATATATACATGCATACGTACACACTGTAAAAATGGTAACACTTTACAATAAGGTTCATTTATTAAACATTAGTTAATGTATTAACTAACATGAACTAACCGTGAGCAATACATTTGTTACTGTTTTTGTTAATTTTTGTTAACGTTAGTTATTACAAATCCAGCTGTTCATTGTTTGTTCATGTTAGTTCACAGTGCATTAACTAATGTTAACAAGATTTTAATAAAGTATTAGTAAATGTTGAAATTAACATTAACAAAGATTAACAAATGCTCTAGAAGTATTGTTCATTCTTAGTTAATGTTAACTAATGTAGTTAACTAATGAACCTTATTGTAAAGTGTTACCGTAAAAATATATTGTTGGTTTAACTTAAAAAATTAAGTAACCTGGTTGCCTTAATTTTAATTTGATTGAACTGGAAAAAGTGAGTTAATACAATGAAGGAGATCGATTTAATCACCAGAAACTCAAAATAATGAGTTATCTGAACTAAATAGATTATTTAAGTTGATTTGACAAAAGAAAAAATGTTGTGATAACAAATCTTGAAAATATATTTTTTTACAGTGATACATATACACTCACCGGCCACTTTATTAGGTACACCTGTCCAACTGCTCGTTAACACTTAATTTCTAAGCAGCCAATCACATGGCGGCAACTCAGTGCATTTAGGCATGTAGACATGGTCAAGACAATCTCCTGCAGTTCAAACCGAGCATCAGTATAGGAAAGAAAGGTGATTTGAGTGACTTTGAACGTGGCATGATTGTTGGTGCCAGAAGGGCTGGTCTGAGTATTTCAGAAACTGCTAATCTACTGGGATTTTCACGCACAACCATCTCTAGGGTTTACAGAGAATGGTCCGAAAAAGAAAAAACATCCAGTGAGCGGCAGTTCTGTGGGCGGAAATGCCTTGTTGATGCCAGAGGTCAGAGGAGAATGGCCAGACTGGTTCGAGCTGATAGAAGGGCAACAGTGACTCAAATAACCACCCGTTACAACCAAGGTGGGCAGAAGAGCATCTCTGAACGCACAGTACGTCGAACTTTGAGGCAGATGGGCTACAGAAGCAGAAGACCACACCGGGTGCCACTCCTTTCAGCTAAGAACAGGAAACTGAGGCTACAATTTGCACAAGCTCATCGAAATTGGACAATAGAAGATTGGAAAAACGTTGCCTGGTCTGATGAGTCTCGATTTCTGCTGCGACATTCGGATGGTAGGGTCAGAATTTGGCGTCTACAACATGAAAGCATGGATCCATCCTGCCTTGTATCAACGGTTCAGGCTGGTGGTGGTGGTGTCATGGTGTGGGGAATATTTTCTTGGCACTCTTTGGGCCCCTTGGTACCAATTGAGCATCGTTTCAACGCCACAGCCTACCTGAGTATTGTTGCTGACCATGTCCATCCCTTTATGACCACAATGTACCCAACTTCTGATGGCTACTTTCAGCAGCATAATGCGCCATGTCATAAAGCTGGAATCATCTCAGACTGGTTTCTTGAACATGACAATGAGTTCGCTGTACTCAAATGGCCTCCACAGTCACCAGATCTCAATCCAATAGAGCATCTTTGGGATGTGGTGGAACGGGAGATTCGCATCATGGATGTGCAGCCGACAAATCTGCGGCAACTGTGTGATGCCATCATGTCAATATGGACCAAACTCCCTGAGGAATGCTTCCAGCACCTTGTTGAATCTATGCCACGAAGAATTGAGGCAGTTCTGAAGGCAAAAGGGGTCCAACCCGTTACTAGCATGGGGTACCTAATAAAGTGGCCGGTGAGTGTATATATATATATATATACACACACACACACACACACACACACACATATGTGTGTATGTGTGTGTGTGTGTGTGTGTGTGTGTGTGTGTGTGTGTGTGTGTATATATATATATATATATATATATACACATACATATACAGTATACACACATGTTGTGTTTGTATACATATACATATAAATACATACACATATATTCTCTGGCAACAAATAACAGATGAACACCTTATGGGACTCGAGACCTTTAAGAGAAAGATTTGTCAGTGATATTTCATCAGATTTACAGTGTATGAAAGGTCAGCGATACAATCTATAAAAACCTCTGCATTAAAGGCTTCATCTTCAGTGTTTTATCAAGAAGTAAATCAGGCCAAGATTTTTCAGCTGGTTAAACCGACAATTAGCAAGAGGATACAGAAGCTACACCTTACTAACTGAAAATAATGAATAAGTGTGTGTGTGTGTGAATCTAACTGTTTTCATACCTTTAATAGCTGACAGGTGTCTCTTAAAGATCAGACAGGAGTGTGTTTGTCTCTGTAGACTGATGGGTAAAGACTTGGCTGTTTAGTAATAACGCTTGACAGATTCTTGTTCGCTCTGTCTCTTTCCCCGAGAACCCTTGCTGTCTCTTCTGCCTTTAGGATGTGGGATTAGTTGCCAGAACCACTTGGCGGTCTGACAGTCGCAGATCCTCAGAGACCTCCGAGCTTCAGCAGAAGCTTCACTTTGATATATGGTCCTGTTCGTATGTTCTCTGTGATTTAACGCCTGAGGTCGAGCGTCTCGGATCAAAAGATCCGCGCTGAACAATCTGGATCAGAGTCAGGCCGTTGATGATTTCTTATTGGTGTGGACGTCGAAGAGCTGAAGGTACGTTGACGCCTCAGCGTGATTTGCTTCCTCTTTTCCCTGTCGTATCTTCCTGACAGGGCCGAGTTGTGGACGCAAGGCCGTTTGCAGACAGATCGCTTGCTGTCAGTATAATCCACAGGCTGATGGCGAAAATGGACTCTTTATTACTCTGGCTGACAAAAAGAAATCTGTCTCCTTCAACCATAAAGCATGAATAGATGGATGAAGCACTGCGGTAGCTTTGAGATACTGTGGGAAAGATGAATGTCTTTATGGATGGTCAACTCTGTTGTTTCCGCCCAATAAAGAAACCTTCTGATACATAGTGTAAAACAAGCAAATCAATTCAGTCTTCCTTTAGATGAAGTCCTTGTCCTCTCGGTGTCATTTCCAGGGGACGACAGATTACAGACGTGCTGATAACCAGAAACAGCTGCTAGCAGGCCGACCACCGTCATGAACCATCTGGAAGTGCCCTCATTCTCCAAGGGCATGTTAAGAAATACCAACAGAGCCGTTCCACCTCCTTTCCCTCCCTTTCCTTCTACTCCTCTTTCTCCTCTCCTCTCACAATGCTTCACTGCCACTCTATTTTAGTTGGAGGAATATCTCATCATCAGGAAGGAAAGTGAGATTGTATTGAGAAACAATGGGGATTGGACTCAGGCTTGTGGTCTCATGGTAATTATTCAGAGCTAGAAGTTTCATGTGACTTGTTGCTTTCAGCTTTGCTTTAATATGTGCAAAATCTAGTTTTATTTCTTCGGTTTTATCAGAAACTAGCATGCACTCTTTTCGAAAGATTATACTCATCCATTACACCTTAGTATTTTATAGCAACGCATTTTTTTAAATGTTAAAAATTCTTACAATTTAACACACACTGTAAAAATATTTTCATGATTTGTAAGCACAACATTTTTTTCTTTTGTCAAATCAACTTAAATATTTTATGTAGTTCAGATAACATAATATTTTGGTTGATTAAATCAATCTCCTTCATTGTATCTTTCTATTTCAATGAACTTAAAATTTTAAAGGGATCGTTGAGTTTTTGATATGTTTTAGCTTACCTCAAGGGCATCCAAGATGGAGGTGTCTTTGTTTCCGCAGTAATTTTGATATTTTTAGGTCAAACCGTTTTAGTCTGTCAGTCATATAATGAGGTACACGAAATACATACACGAAACAAGCGGTTTGTGTGAGAAAACGAACAGTATTTATATTGTTTTTACATCTTGTAACCACAGCCACGTCCAAGTGATCTGAGGGCGCTTTGTGAGAGGTAAAAACGATATAAATACTGTTCATTTTCTTACACAAACCGCTCATTTGGTGTCTTAGGCCATCAATGTGTGCTTACATTTACAAGTCATTAAATCATGTTTAATTTGGACTTCTCTGTGCATGCTCTTTGAGGTGGTGACCATAGACCTCCATTATATATTTTTTTTTTTTTTTTTTTTTTTTTTTTTTTATTGCAGGTTAACAAAACAGTAACACATACCAGGTAAGATTCAGTGAGACACATCTACAATACAGAAGTAGGAAAGGGGAAACAAAAAACAAAAAAAAACAACAAAAAAAAAAAAAAAACAACAAAAAAAAAAACAACAGAGAACAGAAAAACTCACAACAGCCCCACACAGTTATCGACAAAGTGGTATATGTAGGCACACGAGATCCTTTCTGTGATGCAATTCGGTAGTATCTGAATAGTTGTAGAGGATATGATAGAGACTTTGACAAACACAAAGAAATATATACATATATATATATATATATACACACATACATATATATATATATATATACATATATATACATACACGTATCTATATTAGTGTTAGTGGTGGCAGTATCAATGATAGTATTTATAATGATAATATTCATGACAATAATAGTAATATAGGCTATAGCAATCTACAACAGTAGTGACAATAGCAATATGACAATAAGAATACATTTAATTTTATTTTTATTGCACATCTGCTCTAAACTCTGGGTCAGAGGGCTGACCCAGAACTGCCAGTGAGCGCAACCAACAGGCCCCCCAGACACAGATGTTTCCCCTCGATTCAATAACACGATTCCCCTCCACCACCTTCAGTGACACCCAACCCCCATCGTTATACTTCTGGGCTAGATTGAGTTTTTCCACCGGGGGACCACAACAGGCACCTCCAAACCAAGCTCCCCTAGTCTGTTTGTGACCTGACACAGCCAAGTGTTATTGGTGGTTGGTCCCCCCCCCCCCCCCCCCTTTTTTTTTTTTTTTTTTTTTTTTGTCCCATGGTTTGGACCGAGGCGTACACTGGTTAGCTCCCTAGCCAGAGACACCACATCCAACCCTGGTATCACTTAAAAAGAATTATTTTACTTGATGGGAGGGGTTTGGCTAGAGGTAGTGAAGGGGAAGGGCCATTTAGTCCAATCACTAACAGGGCGTGCTAGCCGCGCCCACCAACAGCACCCGGGCCAGACGCCCGACCCAGTTAAAAAAAATAAATAAATAAATAAAATTACATAAAAATAAATAATAATAGTAAATAGAAAATAATGTTACTAATATTTATACGTAGTATTTTCTGACTGGTTACTTATAGAGAGAAAAGAAATGGGGGGCTCATAATTCTATAATAATAATAATAATAATAATATATTTCATCTTCCATACTACCACCACCCTATAAAGATATATAGCAAATAGTGATAAAATGCAGTTTATAAAAGTATACAGCTTATCAAATATTATACATATACACATATACAAACATTTATATACACGTATACATACATACAAATACATCCATATATACACACACATTCATACCTATATATAAGGGGCATCTATTATAGTGCTGTACAGTGATACACAGATAATATTTTATTATTAATTTGTAAACATGTGATTGGGGAAGTGCGTCGGTCCGGTCCCAGGCTACTGATGTATATGAAGATGAGTTAGGAATGGGTTCCAGATATCAAGAAATTTTGAAATAATGTTCTTGTTAGTATATGTTATTTTTTCAAATGTGATGTATTCTATTAGAAGGTTGGTCCAGTGATTGATGTGTATATGGTTTTTGGACTTCCAATTTTGCAAAATTACTTTCTTGGCGATAGTTAGAGAAATTAGGAGTGGGTTTTTGTAATTGATTGGGAGATTATCAACTTCAATGCAGTTGTTCAGTAAGCAGAGTGATGGAGAAAGAGGGATTTCACAACCCATGATAACGGATAGTTTTGTGGTCACTGATATCCAGAATGAGTGAACTGACTGACAGGTCCATAAGGCATGAAAATAATCATCTGTGCTCCCCAGTGTGCACTGTGAACAAACGTCTGTGTCCCTCAGGCCCATTAAAAACATCTTCTTTTCGGTGATATGAATCCTGTGAATAATCTTGAACTGTATAAGCTGGAGGTTAGCATTATTAGTCATTGAAAATGTGTTGTTACAGATTTCTTTCCAGAGGTCGGTGTTGGGGGAGAAGGTTAAATCTTTTTCCCATTTGTTTTTGGGTATTATAATTGTTGTATCATTGTTCAGTAAACATTTATGTAGTTTTGATATTAGTTTGCTGGTGTTAGTGATTTTCATTATATCTTCCATTAACTGAGGGGGATGGAGTGGGTTATTAATTATGTTAATCTTGGATTTTATTATGGATTTAATTTGTTGATATTGTAAAAACTGTTCTCCCCCAAGACCATACCTCTGGACTAATGTTTTAAACGATATGAATTGGTTGTTTTCAAATAAGTGATGGAGATGAGTGATTCCCTTTTGTCGCCAAGATGGAAAATGTATTGGTTTATTGCATAATTGAAAATCAGGGTTGAACCAGATGGGGGTGTGTCTACATGATGTTAGTGGGGATTTGTTAATTTTGTTTACTTGCCACCAGGCTGTCAGAGTTGATGCAATGGTAATGTTATTAAAATATGGCATTTTCTGAATTGATTTTGGTAGAAAGACAAGGTCTGAAATTGAGGTATCTTTACAATGGTTTTGTTCTAGTTCTATCCATGAATTATTATATTTAGTTTTATGAATCCACTTATATAGATATTGTAGCTGATTTGCTAAAAAGTAATACAGAAAATTAGGAGCTTCTAGGCCGCCTTGTGATTTTGTTTTTTGTAATTTTCCTAGTGATATTTTAGGTGTTTTATTTTTCCAGTAGAAATGAGAGGTTAGTGAATCAAGTGATTTAAACCATTTTTCGGAGGGTGTTGTTGGAAGCATTGAGAATAGATAATTGACTTGTGGTAAGATTTTCATTTTAATTGTAGCAATGCGACCGATAAGTGACAGTGGTAGGTTAGTCCAGCGTTTTAGCTCATCTCCAATTTTTTTTAAAAGTGGAATATAGTTAAGATTATTCAACTCTGACAGTCTGGAGGAAATGTTGATACCCAAGTATGTAATGTTGCCAGTGTGGAGTGGAAGAGATGAATCATGAGTTGTGGGATCCCAGGCACCCTCAGAAAGTGGTAATATTGTTGATTTATTCCAGTTTATTGTATAATCAGAAAATTTTGAGAAGGTATTAATAATTTTAAAGGTTTCTTTTAATGACTTATAAGGGTTTTGTAAACATAACAATAAATCATCTGCATAAAGACAGATCTTATGTTGAGTGTTTACGTTTTGTATTCCTTTGATATTATCATTTTGTCGTATTGCTGCTGCAAGTGGCTCTATAAATATAGCAAATAAAGAAGGAGAGAGTGGGCATCCTTGTCTGGTTCCTCTGTGAAGCGTGAAACTTTGTGATGTGATCCCATTTGTTGTTATTGTGGCTCTAGGTGAAGTATATAATATTTTAATCCAGTGGATGAATGACTCTCCGAAACCAAATCTGTGTAGAGTGTTAAAAAGAAATGTCCAGTTAACTTTGTCAAATGCTTTTTCGGCGTCAAGTGATACAATTATAGTTTTGGTATGCTTTTGTTGTTGTTGGGCAAGGTTAATTAGGTTAAATAATCTGCGCATATTATCTGAAGCATTCCTGTGTTTAATAAAGCCTGTTTGGTCATGGTGAATTAACATGGGGATAACTGTTTCTATTCTAGTAGCTAATGCTTTGGTAATGATTTTTAAATCTGTGTTTATTAATGAGAGAGGGCGGTAACTAGACGGGTGCATTGGGTCTTTGTTTGGCTTTAACAATAGTGTCATAACTGCCGTATTCATGTGTGTTGGTATTGTCGAGGTAGTTTTAATCTCTTGAACAACTTTGAGGAATAAAGGAGATAGAATTGGCCAGAAGTGTCTATAGAATTCAGCAGGAAGTCCATCAGGTCCAGGTGATTTATTATTTGGCATTTGGTCTAATGCTTTATGGAGTTCAGCTTGAGTGAGAGGTGTGTCTAATGAACTTGCCTGTTCTTTTGACATTGATGGTAGCGGTAATTCTTTTAGAAATTTTTTTATTTCTGTTTCATCTGGATTGTGATTGGATGAGTATAATTTTTGGTAAAAAGTTCTGAATACATTATTAATTTCCTGTGGGTTTTGGGTTATTCTATCCGATTCATTGTATATGGATGGGATAATTGCCTTTTCTTGTTTACGCTTTAGTTGATTTGCTAGATATTTGCCCATTTTGTTACAATGTTGGTATTGTTTGTATTTGAGTTGCTGGATAATAAACTGTGTTTTTTGGTTTATGATGCTATCGAGTTCAGCTTTAAGCCGGTTTAGTTCGCATTGTATTTGTTCACTAGGGTTGGTAGAGTATGTATATGTAAGGAGTTTGATTCTCTGTTCTAAATTATTTTCCAGTTTTTGTTGTTGTTTTTTCCTGTAAGATGAATATGATATTATTTTCCCTGTAATTACAGCTTTGCCTGTTTCCCATAATAATGATGGTGAAATTTCAGGAGAGTCATTCGTTTCCAGGAAGAAAGCCCACTCTTTCTTAATAAAACTGTCGAAGTCGGAATCGCGAAGTAGTGAGGTATTAAAGCGCCATCTGTTGGGCCGTTTAATAGAGGACTGAATATTGAATGAGATAGAGATAGGAGCATGATCGCTGATTATGATTGGGTGAATTGAAGTTTCTATTACATGTTGGGTTAGTGAATTACTGATGAGAGAGAAATCAATTCGGGAAAAGGACTGGTGAAAAGGAGAGAAATAGCTATATTTCCTAAGTGAAGGGTTATTCATTCTCCAACTATCGCCAAGTCCATAAGTAGTCATATATTGTTTTATTGTTTCAGTAGACTGCCAAATTCTTGTGGAATTGGATGAATGTGATCGGTCTATTTGCGGGTTTAGGACAGTGTTGAAGTCTCCAGCTATAATGATATTATTTGTATCAGGCAATAGTGAAAAAAAATTATGAAAAAAGGATGGGTCATCATTGTTTGGTCCATAAATATTAGCTAGTGTATATGTTATATGATTAATAGATACATTGATGATGACAAATCTCCCTTCTGGGTCAATAACAGATGTGTTAAGAGTTAGTGGGATATTTTTATTAATTAATATTGAGACTCCACGTTGTTTACTATTGTATAGTAACCTCCATTACTCCATTATATTACTGATAGATACAAACGGTTTGACCTAAAAATATCAAAATTGAAACTTCTGCGGAAACAAAGACACCTACATCTTGGATGCCCTTGAGGTAAGCCAAAACATATCAAAAATTATTTTCAAAGTGAACTATCCCTTTAAGGCAACCAGGTTACTTAATTTTTTTAAGTTAAACCAACAATATTTTTCCCTGCGATTTCTTCTGCCTTCTCTGATGACACAGTAATTAAATTCATTTGCATTTATTTATGTTTCCTGAAAATTCCTTTTTATTTTTTTATTTTTTTTAACGAAGTATCTTATGCTCACCAAGGTTGCACTTACAGTCGTTATTCAAAACTACCGTAAAAATAGGAATATTGTAAAATGAAATGCTGGTTTTCTTTTTGAATATATTTCAAACTGTAATGTATTCCTGTGATGCAAAGCTGAATTTTCAGCATCATTACTCCAGTCTTCAGTGTCACATGATCCTTCAGAAATCGGATTTGCTGATTTTGGTGTCTAACATTTTGAAACACAAATGTCTTCACTGTCACTTTTGATCAATTAAATGCATTCTTGCATGAATGGTAATGAGTAAGAAAAAAAAAAACATTGTATGGGGATCGTTTGAAATATTTTATCATGCTGTTTTTTGTTTATAATCAGTTTATCATCAGTATAATCAAGGTTAAGAAAACCCATCAAGTATCAACGTGACTTCAATACCTGCCAAGCTGTTGAAAGTGCCTTGTGGTCTCTAAAATCAAGCTCAAATGAAATTACGAGGATTTTGACGACAGTTTGAGGATCCAACAGAGATATGAAGTTTAGCCTAATAGGTTTCATTGGTTAAATATTTGCAAAACCCACAAACAATAATAATGATTTATGGAAAAAATTAAGTTTTCTGAACTATATTTTCAATTTTGTTAATAAATAAATAACTAAATGTAATAAATATCTATATTTCTCCTCATTGTAATGCGGATACATAAATCCTTCCCGGTCTCTAACAGAACATGTGGGATTTACTTATCCATCAAAGCCATTACAATGCTTCTAATCGCCTCCCTCACAACCTTTTTAAAAAAGTAAGATGGCACACTACCAGCTCGACAACAAATATCTCTTTATAATCCTTCACTCTTATGAGTGATGCAGGCACATGACGCTTGCTCAGACATGGTATTGGCAATGGGACAGTGAAGAGACCCACCATGTGACCAAACTAGCTTTGGGCCACTGTTGAGTTTCATCAGTTTGGAGTTTGGTTTCTTTGTTTCTGTTTCTGACACTCACAGTGAAATGTATTCAGGAATGGGATCTCTAATTAAACATGTTTATCAGTTTATAAATCACAGAAGTATTATTAAAGGGATAGTACACCCAAAAATGAAAATTTTGTTAGTATTTACTCACCCTCAGGTTGTTCGGAACATGAATTAAGATATTTTTGATGAAATCTGAGAGCTGGATCACTCCTCCATACTAGTCCATAGGCATCTTGAGGGATTGAAACTTGCCGGCCTTGAAAAGTTATTAAAGACATTGTTAAAATATTCCAAGTGACTACAGTGGCTCAATCTTAAGTTTATCAAACGACGAGAACACTTTTTGTGCCCAAAAAAACCCAAACATAAATAACGACTTTATTTCAACTATTCACTTCCTTCTCTCTTGGCCTCGAGTCAGGTTACTAGTAAAAAAGCGTAAGCTTCTGTTGTTGTACGTCACACGCATCACACACATGACCAGCGTCGTCCAATAGTGAGCTCTATGCTATCACACTACGTTAACTGACTAGAGGCGCATAGAGAAGGAAGTGAATAGTTGAAATAAAGTCATTATTTATGTTTGTTTTTGAGCACAAAAGGTTTTGCTGATAATTTACTCACCCCCATGTCATCCAAGATGTCCATGTCTTTCTTTCTTCAGTTGAAAAGAAATTAAGGTTTTTGATGAAAACATTCCAGGATTTTCTCCATATAATGGACTTCAATGGGAACCAAACGGTTCAAGGTCCAAAAGACACTTTAAGTGCAAACTACAAACTGTTCAAAGGGCTTTAAACGATTTCAGTTCACGCTCGTGACTCTCCTATTCGAACTCGAATCTTTTCTCGGGTCAACTCGTTCATTTCGTTCGTTGAATGAACCAAATGACACACAAAAAAAGATTAGTTCATTTTGATTAACAAGTTCGAACAGGAGAGTCACGAACGCGCATCACAGAACTGAACAAGGCGAGCATTTGAGCATCTAAAACTTAAACTTTGTTATTATTTATTTTAAATGAGCGATCGTTTCGCTTGAGAAGACCCTTATTCATCGCCTGAAATCGAAGCTGAACTGAAACTCTCATTTGGACCCCATTGAAGTTCATTATATGGAAAAAATCCTGGAATGTTTTCATCAAAAACCTTAATTTCTTTTCGACTAAAGAAAGAAAGACATGGACATCTTGGATGACATGTGGGTGAGTAAATTATCAGCAAAAGTTTTTTTTTAAAAAGTGAACTACTCCTTTAACGTCTTTGCTATTCTAAGATGGCTTATTTCCCAGTCGCTGTTATTATACTAGGTGCATTGCATGATTGCATTAAAAAGGTTTTAATCTAGAATGAGTGAGGCTTGCCTTTATAAACACAACTAATAATACAAACCAATGTTGCTTGTGTTCCCAAATAGAGCTGCTCTGGGTGCAGGAATCACTCAAGGGAAAGTGTGACTGTGGCACTTGAAATTGTCATCAACACCACCGAGACCCACGGCATTCTCTCATCAGCCCTGGATATGCGGGCAGAGATAAAATGCCTTTCTCTTCATTTAGCCCAGCCACGGGATCATGTGAAGAGAATCATCCATGTGCCTAAACCAAGTCTGAAAGAAGGTCAGTGAGGGGTAAAAATGATAATATGGACTATATATTGCTCAAACAGCTAAAGTTCAGCAGTGGGTTTAATCAGCTCTAGTTACACTTCATATATTCATAAACTTAGGAAGACAATGGCATTTTAAGTCATGTCAATTGTATTTCAACCTTTGGAAATCATTGCATGGACCATTGTAAGGATGGTGACCTGCCCTGACCCCTCACATTTTACCCACCTAGACAGCGTTAATCCAGCTGATGATCGTGCATGAAAAGACAAACTTTTCCTTTATTTATTGCTTGTATGCTTCTGTCACTCATATTGACCTTTATTGTTACGAATGGATTATTACGCAAAAGGCCTCTGCAAACATTCTCAAAAGCTAAACAAAACATTGGCAACGTTCAAAGTGATATTGCTGGCTTTTTTCTACATAGACAAAAAAAGCAGAACAACCTCTTGGTGTCTGTCTCCGTCTCCTCTTGTGTTCTGGTGTCAAAGCTCATTTTCTTGTTCACCCTTTGGAAACAATGGAGAAAAGAAAGCAGCTTTACACACTCAGCAAAAATCTTTATCGAAATTCGAATTCATCACAAAGGTTGTGCTGATAACATAGACTCCTTTCAAATCTTACATTCAGACTCAGCTTTAAGATAACGGGAGGCAGAGGTTAAAAAAATATATATTAAGCAGCATCTGCAAAAAAAAATATGCAGAAGCTTTTCTCAGAACTAACTAAGCTATTTTTATCAGATGTGTGAATGTCATTTCAAGCAGAAGGAAGTATCCAAAAAAATAAAGTACATCTAATATCATCTATTTGTTTTGTGAGTGTTTTGCTTTGAAAGTGTGCTTGTGCTACATTTCTTTTAAATAAATATCTTGTTGGATATTTTATTTATTGCAATGATATGTTTTTTTTGAGCCCGTTCTCATCCTTTGGCGTCATTTAGGTGACGCCATGACATTCGTCGAAATACTACGCACATGACACCCTTTAGCGTCAATTTAACAAGCAGAGCCCAAGGTGTCTTAAAGGGTTAGTTCACCCAAAAATGAAAATTAAGTCATTAATTACTCACCCCCATGCTGTACCAACCCCGTAAGACCTTCGTTCGTCTTCGGAACACAAATGAAGATATTTTTGATTAAATTTGAGAGCTGTATAACTACCACATTGGCTCCTAAGGGACTGCCTCTTGACGGCCCAGAAAGTCAATGAAGAAAATGTTTAAATATCCCAAGTGACTACCGTGGCTCAACTATATGTTTATCAAGCGACGCGAATACTTTTTGTGCGAAAAAACAAACAAAAATAACGAGTTTATTCGACTATTTCTTTTCTTCCTTGTAGGCCAGAACGAGACTTCCTTAGATTTCCACGACGCATGCGCGAGAATTGCGATCTGCTTACACCGCTTACACTACTTCAGATCGCAATTCTCGCGCATGCGTCGTGGAAATCTATAAGGAAGTCTCGTTCTGGCCTACAAGGAAGAAAAGAAATAGTCGAATAAACTCGTTATTTTTGTTTGTTTTTTCGCACAAAAAGTATTCGCGTCGCTTGATAAACATATAGTTGAGCCACGGTAGTCACTTGGGATATTTAAACATTTTCTTCATTGACTTTTTGGGCCGTCAAGAGGCAGTCCCTTAGGAGCCAATGTGGTAGTTATACAGCTCTCAAATTTAATCAAAAATATCTTCATTTTTGTTCCGAAGACGAACGAAGGTCTTACGGGGTTGGTACAGCATGGGGGTGAGTAATTAATGACTTAATTTTCATTTTTGGGTGAACTAACCCTTTAAAGGTGACTGGCATCCTTTAGCGTCAATATGAGACCATACGTCAGCGAATAGCGACCATACGCGAAACAGACGTCCTGAAGCTTTGCAAGATGATTCGAAACACTGATCCGAAGCGTGATTCAAAACACCCACATCATGTGACTATATACGGCTAAATGAAGCTTCTAAGTGTTTCATTAGGTGTACTTTATATATATATATATATATATATATATATATATATATATAGACAGATTAATAGTAAGAACAGCAGAGAATTAATATTTTTGGATAAAAATCTATAAGAAACCACTAGGTGTCGCCATGGAGACGGGTGTTTGATTGATTCGAAGCCTCGAAACAATATGGCACATTTGCTTCAACTGTTTCAGTGCTTCACAAAGCCTCGATCTGCCCATCACTACCTAAACCTATCCATAACAGTGCGTGTTATATTGACGCAAAAGGGTGACATGTGCGTAGTATTTCGACGAAATGTCATACGGCGTAACGGCGTCACCTATATGACGCCAAAGTATGAGAATGTGTTGGTTTTTTTTATGTGGCTTAAGTGTAACTTGAGTGAGCATTTAAAAAAAAGTGCTGTTTTTCTTGCATGAAAAATGAAAACAGATCATGTCTTTGTAGTCAGCTAAAACAGCAATGAAGCTGTGAAAATTGCAGCTAAGACAGGAAATTATGCTAGAAATATGTTTAAATTGTTCAAGTGCCGTTTTTTGCACATACATGTGGGTGTGAAACTAATCACGATGTTAAAATCACCTCTATCTCTTTTTATAGGGAGCCGCAAAGTTGCAGAATGCTAGCAAGTGATAAAGACACCCTGTGCATCAGGGTTATCGCCTGAGAGAGAGTGGACCCTTTACGACCTGGTGTTAGAGACCGCTCTGACCACATCCTGACAGAATCCTGGCTGAGAGAAAGACAACCAGACCTTCCTACACGCCAATGACAGTTGCATGCATTTATTTGGTTAGTAGAGTTCCTGTAGATTTCCAAATGAACTAATTAAATTGTCAATGACTCAGCATAATCCAGGACAATTCTAGCTATTGCCTGAGCCATGCTTTAACAACAATGCATTGCAGACAGTTTTATTGACCGGGTGATGATGACCGAAGAGGTCAATGAAAAAAAAACATCCATAGATACTGTGAATTTTCATTCCATACCAACTTTAAGTGAAGCATGAAGGAAAAGGCGCTTGATAAGAACTCAATGAACTTTGAATTGATGGCCAAGTTGATTGTCAAGATGATTTCCCCTTTTTTAACCTCCTTAGAAAATCCATGTTGTACACTTTTTAAGGCCATTGGATTGGTCTTTTAGCGTCTCTTTGTGACTCTACCTTCCGTCTTTCTATTGTATTGCCATAGGCATTTCTTTCCTCTTGCTGTACCCTAACCAGCGTGTACACACGTATCCATTTCCTTACAGATTGGACAGAACAATTGATCACCTTTTCTCCACCCTTTCTCCTGCCTATTCACTATCGTATGTGATGCATTTAAGGCCATAGAAAGCTGGGACTCTTGGTCCGGGTGTGGTTAGATAGTTGTTTGTTACCATACTTCCAGGAAAATAACTATTTTAAACCCTATGTATGTGGACACCTTGTATTCCGGTACATTCCGGGTCTTGGAGGTAACACTTATGGATGTTTAGACTGGAAGACTGGACAGTGTCCCAGTAAAGGTCCAATAATAAATCTCCAGATAATCTTTATTAACTGGAAGTTTGTCAACTCTAACAATGAGCCAACCAAACCAAATAGTTAGAGGCATGCCAAGATTATCCTCCATTGGATTCCAAACAGTTGTTTTACCAGCCCGTTCTCATCCCAAGACGTCATCTAACTGACGCTTTTGACCATACGTCAACATCCGACGTTTTAGGGTACCCTTTAACGTCGGTTAGATGACGCTATCCAATCCTATCCCTACCCAGACCTAAACCTACCTGACGCTAAAGGTAAACCGTCAGTTGGATGACGCCCTAGGATCGTCATCTAACTGGCGTTAAAGTGGACCCTAAAACGCTGGATGTTGACGTATGGTCAAAAGCGTCAGTTAGATGACGCCTTGGGATGAGAATGTGTTGGTTTTACTCTAGAAAGCGGCATACAGAGATATGATGAAATAATTAGATAATTCTGCGCTGCAAGTTTACAACGAGGCTTCATTCACTCTACAGTCTCCCGTGTGGAATGGAAGTGAACTGAATCAGGTAAATCCTCCTTATTGTTGCTGGTATCTCTGGTATGCACAAAGAACAGAGAAGAGAGACCCACATTGGATCCATCAAATAGTTGGCGCTGGAATAGGGATTAATGGGGATTACCACAGAAGAACAAGAGGATAGGCACCACTGTCAAACCATGCTGGAGTTCTCTGGGAGTCTGGAGCAATATTTAAAAACCAAATAAATTTGGTACATTGTGTTGATAATATTGCTCACAAAGACGTAACCCGACGAGGTACAGTACATCTAATAGTGTACAAGACCAGTATATGTTGATGGGATCCAGAATGGGATGCAATGAACTGATTTTTAAGGCTTCTAAACTAACTTAACAAGCAAGACTTCATTGGTCAACCACCATTAACAAAAAGATGAAGTGAATGGGTTGTACGCCCACCAGCTAGTCCAGGGGTGTCCAATCCTGCTCCTGGTGGGCCAACGTCCTGCACACTTTAGCTCCAATCTGCTTCAAATGAGTCGTAAAATAACCGGATGAAAGATGACCGATTTCCGGGGTCGTGGCTCCTAAGCATTAGTCCTAAGTTGTCACGGTGTTTGTGACCAAAGATAACCTGCGATAATTTCCTGACAGTGTCAGAAATTTAGCATGATCAATGTGTTTGCTTCAACGACCTACGTCTACTGACTAGCCAATAAAAATGCAACATGAAATGGCGTATTGATCAACGTAACATGGCACTAAAACTACTTGACTCAAGCTCCATTTGCAATATTGGAATGGCCATGACCGCATACATATTCTCCTCTTTTTTCATTGCACCAACAAACAACAATTGCCAAAGTGTGATTCATCTTGCTCTATTTGTTTACCATCATCGCATGCTGATGACGTTTTATTCTTCTATACTCATGACTTTACTCAAGTACATTTGAGGGGGAAATCTTGTACTCTTTACTCCACTACATTTCTATCCACAATCGTGAGTACCCATTACTACTTCTAAAAAAAATTGAAAAAGTGGAAAAAAGAAAAATCTCAAACGTTTCCCTCTCAAACGTGATTGGATTGTGCAGGCGCCACTGATTGGGACAGCCTATCAGCAATCACCTTCAGCTTTCCGCCAAAGTCAACTCAATGGTCAGATTTAGAAAAGAGACCAAACCATGGACGAAACAATGGATGGAGACACAGCAGTTCCATCCCGGGAATGTGCAGACCCGTGGCCCCACCTCGCCAGACTATTTATACACTTTCTGAATTTTCTTAAATGTTAAATAAAGCAACATGGTAAAAAGATGAAAATGACTTGATTATTTTCAATTCCTTTTACATTCTCCAAGGTATTGGCATTAACATTTTTTTCATAACTCCATGTAGGACGTTTCTGTTCATAAATGTAAGCACTGTGGCAGTAGTAATGCAATATTTAGAAAATGTACTCTTGATACTCAAGTACTTTTAAAAACAAGTACTTCAGTAGACATCTGACTGTAGTACTTGTAGTACTTACTTGAACTTGAGTAAAATTTAGCAAGGGGTATCTGTACTTTTACTCAAGTAATAAAGCTGTGTACTCTGTCCGCCTCTGGATCGTACAATGTGATTTGTAATGATCTTATAGAATTGCCGAAATCACACAGTCTGTAGCAGATATAATTAGAGTTGGAGGACTCCAGAAGCAGGTTTGGACACCACTGAGCTAGACCAACAATAACACGCAAAGACCAGCATTAGCGCAAGTTGGTTCTTAGATAAAACATAATGACTACGGCTGGAAAGCAATAGTTTTTGTAGTAATTCAGAACTGTGCAAGTGAAAAGAAGGGTCAATCGTTTTAAGTAACCTACACTGTCGCACTCAACTTAGTTAACCAACAGATACAGTTTTCGTGTACTGAGATCGAGAGCATACAGTATGTTGCTCCCAGCCTTTTCCCTTGCTAATGGTTAATGCTATGCTAATGCTACACTTTCACTGTATCCTACGTAGTTTTATGGCAGTCAGCGAAATCGTCCCTCAGGAGCAGGAAACGTGGTGTAACACAGCATGTAGGCAGATCCCTGTAAGATAACTTTGTTTGAGGGAATGTCCAATGCCTAGCCATAGCCTGGGGCCTGCTTCATTCGCACAATCTGGGATCATGCCTCAATGCGCACGTTTAATAGACACAGCGGACTTCATAATGACATCATGCCTTTGTTTGAAATCCCAACACCCATTCACCACTATGCTGCTGGCTTAGGCTTCCAGCGCCAGCAATATCAACAAGTAGCACCTTTAAATGAAGGCTCCAGGGTCAGGCTAACATGAGGACTGTTTGCTCCAACTTTTTGCATACTCTATGCCGATGGTGTTGAACTACTTGTGTTGGAAACTCTGTGCAAGAGTTGACTTTAGACAAGTACATGCAAAGGTTAGGTTAGGATAGAATACATGTATTTATTGTCAGGCTACATCAGTTGGCAAAGTTGTCATTAGATGCTGGTCTTTGCTTTACTCCAAGCCTGGTTTTGCTGGTTTGAAAGGGCACTTGCCAGACTGGGAGACTAGATTGCAAACCAGCTGAAGACCAGCTTAAAGCAGCTAATGCTTGAGATGGTCTTATGTAGTAGCAGAAATAGGGAAAATTCCCAGGTACTTATATTTGTTTGCCCAACATTCAACACGTGGCATCTTGAAAAATCATGGCGCAAGCAACCTAGTAAGTGGAGAACCTCAGTTCTCAATCTTAGATCCTTCAATCTCAGATTCTTCATAGTTTCCTCTGGTGATCTGCCATTTCATTCTATAGTAAATGCGACAGGGTCGGTATCCAGGACTTTGTATAATACCGATACAACACGTACTTGTTTTATTGCCGAGGAGTAAGTTGTGTTTAATAGGAAAACATTTTTGCATACATGGCCCCGCCCTCCAAACATTCACATAACCCACCCACTGAACATCATTCTTTAGTTTCAGCCAATGGCAATGGTTAGTCCATGATGTCATTTCTAGAGCACATTCCAGTTGGATAAAAAGTGGTCCACACGGGCTAAAGCATTGTCTACAGAGGGATTATTGGTGGTTCTGACTAATTAGACTTGATATGTTTGAGTCAAGAAGTATGTGTACATTGTTGCTTGACCTACTGTATTAAAGTGACATATCTACATTTTTTTAATCCAAGTGCATGTCCCATTTCATGAGTTCACCATAGGTTTCATGATAACATGGTGTTGTTTTAGCCAATCCCTGATGCAGTATGATGTCACATGAGATACAAAATATATAAATAAAACGAATTTCTCTTTATTAAGTAGTGTTATCAACCATATATCATAAACTCGCATGTTTAAATGTTTGCTTGATTGGGATTGGTATTTTGGAAAAGTTGCTATTTATTTTCCGAACTAGCCTGTTGCTAGCTTTTATGCTATTATATGCCTTCAAAAAATAACAAATCGATCACTGTGATGAAACAAACTTTCTGGTTTTAGCATTTAGCATACACTCTTAAAAAATGCTGGGTTGTTTCGACCCAAATATGGGTCAAATATGGACAAACCCAAATGTTGGGTTAAAAATGTAATTTAATTTTAACCCAACTTCAACTTTCACTTTCAACTGTAAATTTATTAATTACATTTTGACCCAACATTTGGGTTTGTCCATATTTTACCCAAATTTGGGTTAAAACAACCCAGCATTTTTAGAGTGTAGGATTACCCTGGACATTTCTGAGTAAAAATGTACATGTAAACAAATGTTTCTGGTTTTCTTTTGTGAAAAGCCCAACTTACCACTTCAGTGCTCACTTCCTGTAAGTCAAAGAACAAAAGTTTCTGAGAAATGTGACCAGAGATAGATAGATGATCGCTAAGATAGATAGATAGAGCACAGCTATTTCAAACTCAAGAAACGTGAAGTGAATCTCAAAATCGTGCTTTAATTAGCACCATGTCAAGTTTACACTTTTAAAATTGCCCTTTTCCCAATGCCAGTGACACATACGTTCCCATTTGTGTTTGTGAATCCTATTGTGCTACGCGTCACCATGCGTCGCCCTCTGAATAAAGGCTGTCTGGCTCCCAGCTTAAATATTGCAGCAAACTAAAAACCAACCATCAGACTGGATTCATTCACTTCTGCTCACTCGGGCGACAAGGATTGGAGGCCATAGGTGGGAACCAGAGAGCAAAAAGTTCACTTCACACCACAGTGTGCCAAGAGAAGGGGGAACACACATACTCTGGAGCTCTTACTGTGGCAAGTTGCCCATTTTATACTGTTTACCTATATTGCTGTTTGGTCTATATAGCGCACTGTTGGTGTGAAGGTATGCATTTTAATCAGTTGTAGAGTCTTTTTCTTTTGGTCTGTTTTGGTTTATTTGGCCTGTTTTGTTAGACCAGGGTGGAATTGTCAAATTCTAGATAAATATCAGATGATACTGATTTTTTTGTTCAAATAACCATCGCAAGTGGAATGACCTTTTGGGATAATCTATAATCATGAAGTGTAACTTGAGTTGTAGACTAATAAGACTACCGTTCACATCTCTTTTGTTTGTCCCGCAGTGCTGACAGTCAACCATGGGTGACTGGAGTTTCTTGGGCAACATCCTCGAGGAAGTAAACGAGCATTCGACGGTAATCGGTAGGGTGTGGCTCACGGTCCTCTTCATCTTCCGAATCCTCATCTTGGGCACCGCCGCGGAGTTCGTGTGGGGCGACGAGCAATCGGATTACGTGTGCAACACGCAGCAGCCGGGTTGCGAGAACGTTTGCTACGACGAGGCATTCCCCATCTCGCACATTCGGCTGTGGGTGCTCCAGATCATCTTTGTTTCCACACCCTCTTTGGTGTACGTGGGCCACGCCGTCCACCATGTACACATGGAGGAGAAGCGCAAGGAACGGGAGGAGGCTGAGCTCAACAGGCAGCAAGAGATGAACGAGGAGAGGCTGCCGCTCGCGCCCGATCAGGGAAGCGTCCGTACGGCCAAGGAGACGAGCACAAAGGGCAGCAAGAAGTTTCGTCTCGAGGGCACTCTCTTGAGGACCTATATCTGCCACATTATCTTCAAGACTCTCTTTGAGGTAGGCTTCGTGGTGGGCCAGTACTACTTGTACGGCTTCCGAATTCTGCCGCTGTACAAGTGCAGCCGTTGGCCGTGCCCGAACACGGTTGACTGCTTCGTCTCAAGACCTACGGAGAAAACCATTTTCATCATCTTCATGTTGGCCGTGGCCTGTGTCTCGCTTTTCCTCAACTTTGTGGAAATCAGCCATTTAGGCTTGAAAAAGATCCACTTTGTGTTCCGCAAACCGGTGCGGCCGCAAGTCGAGGGACCGGGGGCGGGCGAGAAGGCCCTGCCCTCCATAGCAGCCTCCTCCATCCAGAAAGCCAAAGGCTACAAGCTGCTGGAGGAGGACAGAGCCACGTCGCACTTCTTCCCCCTGACCGAGGTGGTGGGGATGGAAGCCGGCCGGCTGCCGGCTCCGTACGAGCCATTCGAGGAGAAAACGGACGACGCGACCCTACCTAAAAAAGACATGTCTAAGGTGTACGATGAAACGCTGCCCACCTACGCCCAGACGACAGTGATAGGACCGAGTGCGGCGGCGGGAGTTCTTCACAGGGATGAAGACGAGGCCGTCGAAGCGGACGTGGAAGCCAGTGAGACGATAGAAGACACTCGACCGCTCAGCAGCCTGAGCAAGGCCAGCAGTCGGGCAAGGTCAGATGACTTGACGGTATAAATATTATAGAACTGGATCAGAAGTGCAGTAGTTTTGGGAAAAGCGTAGAAAGTAAAAACGAGTGAGAGGGGGGAGAAAGAGGTGCGGCGACACTTATAATACCAGCTTATTATTTTGAGGAAGAAACAATTGAAAAAAAATAATGCTGTGCAATTTTTATGAGGAAACTTGAGAGCTTGATTCATTTTTTTATACAGCAGTATTTTTTGTACTGTTTTTATCAAACAGTTAACAAACCAAAGTTAGCGATCTGCTACGTCGGGAGGAGTCGGGGGAACTTATTTAGCGAAATGTGCTGTTTTTTTTTAATAATAACATTTTCTATCCAGAATTTTACATATTGAAGGTGAGATTCTAATGTTTACATTTTTTTTGGATTAGCCATTAGCTTAATGTTGTATGTGATGTTTTGTTATTATTCTGATAAGAAAAAACTGTCAGGGCATCATTCTTTTCACCTCAGCAATTTCAACCACACATGATGATAAATAATCAATCTTATTTTGATTTGTATGTGAATGGTACTGTAATGGATAGGTGTATGTGTGAGGTGAAACACATGCTGATAGTTTCGTTGCACAGTCGTCAATCATGGCATATTAGCAAAATATGGACTATTTATTTAAAAGAAATGACCACCGCTGATACACGTCAAACACGATTCCTTGTTTCTCGTTTCAGTAAATTACATTATGAGTCTCTTGATTTCATAAACTGTAGGTCAGAGTGTATCTAGCAATAACTGTAATAATAATAATAAATGCATTAGCCATAGAAAATATCGTTGGCCACATTCTTTCTAGTCTCTCTGCGCATGCAACCATGATGATGATGATAAAGATCATGCCCAATCAGCACAAAGTATTGTTCAACAAGAGACAATAAAACAACATTACATGACATGTCACCACAGACATCATGATGTTGTTGGAAACACCATTTTCACACTTTTGCCCTCGATGATGCTTTATTTAATTTAATAATATTTTAAAGGGCGAGAACAGAAGTGTTTCGCCCCTTTATTGACTCAACATTTTTGGCAGAGACATGTCTTTTGTTTTAAACTATGCCTTGGAATTTAGTAGATGATATATAGAAAAAAAAGGTCATGTAAGAGTTTATTGTAATTATTACTCCTGACCAAATAAATTGTCCCTTTGTTTGTAAAACATCCACAGTTCTACCAAAGTCATTTACTGAAATGTATAAAAATGGTTCATTCCATGTCAAATGAGTGTTTATGATAACAGGCATGTCAAAGCAGTTCAAACTACCTGCATTTTATATCTTTTCTTTTCTCCTTTACCCTTAATGGTTTCATATTAGTTTGGTTTGAATGTAAAATTGTTTTATTTTATGTTGTTGCCATGTAGAGAAGATAAACATTTCCAGAGCCTAAACAAATGACTCGAACTAGAACCGAAAAACACATTTTCTGTAGGCTACTTTTTAGCGGTGGATGATATATCCTTTAAAGAAAACGTGATTTCACCAAGTACACCATGCCCCTGGATCAACATTCCAATCAACTAATCAGATTCGAGGGACTCATTTAGTTGTGTCATGTTTTAGCTTACAACCAGACTGTAAAAAAATATGGACAAAGCGTCTGTGACGTCACCCATAGACATTCTGAAGAACAGTTTTGAGGCTGTTTATGGGGGGTATGGGCGGCAACATACTGGAAAATCTCGAGAAATACAAAATACAAATGTTCATAAAGGATACAGAGGTGGTATGATGTGTTTCATGGCCGAGACGTCAAATTCCACTCGCTGCAGCCCGTTATCAGCTGTCAATCAAAGTTAACCGCCCTTTTTGTCATACATTTGATATCTAAATACGATCTAAACTAACGCGTTAGAAAAAAATTCACCCCCCTCACAGTTGTCAGGCTCTCGGAACCTATCCAAAAATACAATAAAAGTCCATGGGACCAAACTGTAAACATATGAATTTATGCTGTGAAAACGGACATTTTAACATGACGTCTATGGATAATCCTCCCTCTAGCGGATTTTAGATGTATTGCAGTTTTTCGCACTTCCGGTTAGGCTTCATTTTTTCAGATTAGAATGTTGCCGCTTGCTTACAACCAGGTTTTGGTGCTTCTACATCAGTGTTATTCACCACTTAGTTCCCTCTAATTTTAGATATATGGGTAGGGTATAGGACTACATTTTCGGATGGGAATGCTGATCCAGCGACATGTCTTACTTGGGAAAATCACAGTGACCATTATTTAAAGGCACAAACACGAGATGCATGAGCAAATGCATTCTACATGCAGTTTAGAAACATCAAAGGTGATAAAGTACTGTAGGTCAAATAAAAAATAATTGTAGACTACCAGTATAAAAAACCCCTGACAAACAGAGGAATGATCATTTTGCCTCGTACTAATGTGAAGGACACCATTGTCTATTCACAAAGCAATGTTTCATTAATGGGTTTGTCTATTCTGTTTTTTTGTCACTGCTAAACATTTCTTCACAGTCTTTTTCCGAGAGGAAACAACAGTGAAACATTGAGGGCTGTTATTAATAAGATTTCTTCTTAGAGAAGCTTGCTTTCACGATCTGTGACACATTAGTGCAAAGTTTGGACTGAATCTACATTTTGCTGTAGTCACAGAATTTGAGAAGACAGCGATCAACAGTTCGCCACACCATAAATGAACACATCAGATTTCAGGATGATGAGAGAAATTCTGATTGATGATTTGGTTCTTAACTGTGAGTTTCAATGGCAAATTTTACTTTGATTGAAGGCCTTTATCATTTCATTCATTTTTACTAACTTGTAGTCCTTTTCTGCAGAAATGATTGTCAGTTGAAACCTGTGAATATAGCCAATAAAAGGTCATGTGTGGTCAACAAGACTGTCTGCCAGTATTTATTGATATCAGTGTTTAAAATTCATTTGAACTGAACTGATTTCAAGTTTAAATAGATGTCTCTCTCACACATTTAACTCTAAATGAGGACATACTATCTCTGTTTGTTTTTTATTGTGTACAATATTCATATACAATCTATTAATGACACACACACACTTGATGTAATTGAATTTATAAATGTAATTCAATAATATATATTTTATATATAATTAACATTTTATTATTTATAAACTACATTGAATGGTTTCTTCTTTTCCCCCCTATTGGGAACCTCTCCAGAAGGAAGCTTTCGCAAGATATAGCTAACTTCTTGGGTATCATTTGCCTTCAAGTTTAACATGAATAAAAATACTTAAAGCCATCAGAAACAAACTACTATTTAAAGCATCCAAACTGCATAAATATGGTAATAATTCAGCACCATAGAAGGCTACTACCTCCTTGCACCATGAGACTCAGAACACGTCTGCTGCTCTCTAGTGGTCATTTGATGAATTCTTTTATTTTTTAGGAAAACTCGTTACAAAACAGTTTGAGAACAAGAAAAAAAAATCTGCAAATAAGATTTGAATGGGTAAAGATGGCTTTGTGGACATGAAAACTATACAGCTGTGGCGAACTGATTCATTAAAGGGATGGTTGAATATGATTTCACTTTTTTAACTTTAGTTAGTGCGTAATGTTGCTGTTTGAGCATAAACAACATCTGCAAAGTTATGATGCTCAAAGTTCAAAGCAGAGGGAGATATCTAGTTTTAAAACAATTGCTTTTTAAGGACTACAACAAACAGCTGGTATGGACTACAGGATATTCCTCCCAGGTTAGTGACATCATGAAACCCCGCCCCGAAACACGATTTAAAGATTATCAAGACAGAATATGCTAATAAATTACTAGAAGATAACTGCACAAAAGCTACATAAATGTTGACTACATGTCACTTCTTCTTGAGTCTCTCCATCTTTCTGACTTCGGTTTGAACATAAGTCAAAAAGTTTTTGAAATTTTCAGTGCATATCTGTGTGGGGTAAAATCATAGACTGTAAAAAAAAATGGACAACGGCCCTTCGCTCTCCTACATTTCTCAGAAGTGAAGCCGCCAGTGTCCCGAACTCCGATATGATGCTGAAATCTTGGATCTTGAGTTTGCGCAGTAGTGATTTCGGGACCAGATCTGCGCAGTCGTGAGCAGGAAGTAAAGCCACGAAATCAAGACCCCGCCCTCACTCTCGCAGAAAGCACACGCTCCTGCACTTTTAAATAAATTAAATACAGAAGTTTAGATATTAAATGTAAAGCTCCAATCTTCTCAGTCCTCCGAAGATCCTGAAAAAAAGTCTGTTGGTGCTTCAGACTGCTTTGCTCAGAGAACCTTTCAATGACAGCTGTCAATCATGATGTCACACCACCGCATCAAATAACGAACTAAAAACAAACACTTGAAATTACATCAGCGTGATAAAAACTACTGTTAATGACAGAAATCATCTTTGGAAAACCAATATTTGAAGTGCAATTTAATTGTTTAGTTGGTCTCACGTGCCGTTGAATAACATGGGGAGGCGGGGTTTATGACCTATACTAGGACCGGCCACCGGGGGGCGATTGAGACGCTTTAGCTTCACTTTCAGGGCTTGTGCGGTACGCTTGGGTAAAATGACCGAAAATGATGTCATCTGTTGAAGCTCCGCCCTCTGTGTGAGAGCAGTAGTTCATTTGCATTTAAAGGGACAAACACAAAAATGGTGCGTTTTGGCTCACTTTCAAAAAGTGACAACTTTTACGTGCTTCATAAAATTATCTGTGGGGTATTTTCAGCTAAAACTTCACAACAGACACTCTGGGGTCAACAAAGACTTATTTTACACCTTTTGAAATACACTTTATACCATCCCTTTAATAAGAGTGAAGATGCTTGAAGCAAGCAGGCGCGGGAACGGACACCATTGGCGCTAGTGTTAAGTCACCTGCGCGCCACAACTGTCTGGAGTCTGGAGAAGCTCCGGAAGGACAAAATGAGGAGTGACAACAAGGCCTGGGACATAATGTTGGGGTTTTATTATGTTTATATGCGGCAGTCATGTGAGGGTCTGCAGCTTTATTGTTCGTTTTATATTGATAGTTTGCCGGTTCCCGTCTCCCTTTTCCCTAAACTTGTTGCTATGCTCACTGCAACTATAAAAATTAACCAATACTTGTTTTGTGAGAGTTTGCTTAATTTCTAAAGTTTTTCTGCAGAGAAATCTAGGGGTGTGAATCTTTGAAGAGCATTTCCTTTGTGAGGTCTAATAGGAAATGTAAGAATAGGTCACAGTGCGGCATAACAAGCGACTAGACTACTCGCACACCGCAGCTGCAGGACTTTATCAACCAGTCGATATCAGGGTGAGTTTTACTGCCAGTCTTCATTGTTTTAAATCATACATACGTTCTTTTTTAACATAGTCTTTATAAGTGGAAAACACTGTAGCCTACCTGAGTTTATATTTTCACCAGTCTTATGTTACTTTGTGTTGTACCATCTTGAATTCAGCAGATGAATGGATAACAATGGGTTCCCATAATAGTTCTTCTGTTAATGGAGGTGAGTTGAGCCTGCGTTCACTCTGAAAATTAAATGACTTTAATTTTGAAATTATAATTTTTCGGTGTTGTTATGAAACGGCATGGAATGAAATTAGTTTCACGAGGAAAAGTAATACTGGTTTTAAAAACTCAAAGTAGACATTAAAAGAGGTCTAATTTTTACTATTATTTTGTAGATAATTCGCAATCTTTCAGTTTTTCGAAGATAGCCAGCCTTTCAACAGTGGTCGTGTTGTCAGTGATCTGGTGTTTTGTTTTCCTTCTGGTATTCATTATCTGCTTCTTGTGTTCATGGAAAACTCAACAAAATGAGGTGAAATATTTTTATATTCACTTATAACTGTGGCAAATGCAAAGACCGCAATGCATTGATATCTAGACAAACGATGAGATTGATTATTAATTGGTTGTTGTCTGATTCTAAAAGGTCACAGAGGCTGAGGTCTCTAACGAGGTATGAATCAGGAATTCACACCTCCTCCGTCGTTTGAAACCTCAACTTTAACTATATAGTATCTGTCTATGCCAATTGTCATTCAATTGTGCTTTGTCTTTATTTTTAGGTCTCTGAAAAGAAGAGAATACGAGAAAATCACAAAAGTTATAAAGAGAGGGTCAACTCAGTTTACTATGAGTTGATTATGGGTCACTCACCACAGAGGAAACCCATCAATTCAGAATTAAATGAAAGTATAGAAATGTCTTAATGCATTATAGTGAATTATAATTGCAAACACTGCCAAAACTCTTAAGTTACCATGCAAGGCAACTGAAATGAAGTTCAGTATTGTTTTGTTTTCATTTGTCATAACAATCCAGCAGACGGCGCTATTGCACAAAATCAGTCATGGATGCAGTTCGAAAAAACAAATATTATAGGTTCACCCGAAAAATGCTAATGATAATTCTGTCATTTACTCTCTCATCTTGTTCCAAAATAAGTTAAAAAAAAAAAAAAAAAAAAAAAAAAAAAAACTTAAACATTGTTTATTCCCAAGTTTAAATTATGAAATGTAAATGGGGTCTAGACTTTTGAACCCCAATGCACCATGAAGTATAATTATACCAAAATGTACATGCAAATTTAATTTTTATTTCATTCTCCTGTTTACTTAACAACTTAAATGGTTTGGCAATTGTAATCCTTATAAACCATGCCAATAAAGATGTATTCTGTGTGTGTGTGGTCCTGGTGTTCCTACGTATGGTGACCAAATATCCCCATAAGGATACCAGTATTTCTTGATTTTGAGGGGACTTTTTTGTCCCCATGAGGAAAACATTTTATAAATCATACAGATAATGATTTTTGAATACGTTTTCTGTGTTGGGTATTGGGGATAGAATATACAGTCTGCACAGTATAAAAAAATCATTGTGTCTAAGGCCAGAGGAGAACTGCCACCCTGACTGAGCTTGTTTTTTCCCAGAGTTTTTTTTTTTTCTTCATTTCTGTCACCTGATGGAATTTGGGTTGCTTGCTACTACCGCCTCTGGCTTGCTTATAGGGACACTTAATACTCAGCATTATTACTGACTTGACTGCACTGCACTATTGGATGAAAATTGAACTGAGATGGACAATGACGTTACTGTTTTCTGCAGAGCTACTTTATTGCTGAATTGAACTCATTCCACAGTTGATGTACTTTAGTTACTGAATCAACACTGAACTGATTTCAACTGAATAATGACTTCTTACTATTGTCTTTTTAGAGCTAATTTACAGCAGAATTTAAAGGAGTAGTTCACTTTAAAAAAAAACTTCTGCTGATAATTTACTCACCCCCATGTCATCCAAGATGTCCATGTCTTTCTTTCTTCAATGGGAACCAAACGGTTCAAGGTCCAAAAGACACTTTAAATGCAAACCGCAAACAGTTCAAACGGCTTTAAGCGATTCCAGAAGATGAATAAGGGCCTTATCAAGCGAATCGATCGCTCATTTAAAAAAAATATTTATATATAATATTCTAATATTTATTTATAAGCTCAAATGCTCGCCTTGCTCTGTACTGCGATTCACGTTTGTGACTCTGTCTCGTTCGAACTCGTTCATCAAAATGAACAAATATTTTTCTGAGTCAATTCGTTCGTTTAGTTCGTTGACTGAACCAAATGACTCGGAAAAAGATTAGTTCATTTTAATGATACGCTACTTATGACGTCACAAGTTGTTTAAGTTGTGCTTTTGGCGCAAGTAGACTATAGGCCGTTTGGCCAGAACCGGAAGCTAGAATTTGACTTTGTAATGTGATAAATATGAATATTTTTCTTACACAAATGCATCCCTTCGCTTCAGAAGGTCTTTATTAACCCACAGAGGCGCGTGAAACACTTTTATGTTGCACTTTTATGCACTTCAAAACAGAAACGTCCATTCACTACCATTACAAAGCTTGGAAGAGCCAGGGCATTTTTTTTTAATATGACTCTGATTGTATTCGTCTGAAAGAAGAGTGCCATATTAACCTAATGAGTAAATAATGGGCTTATTTTTCATTTTTGGGTGAACTATACCTGGGATAAAATCAATGGAAGTCTACGCAATGTCCTCACTAATATAGCGAAACAAACACTGTGTATGTGTTTGTGGCCTGGGAAACCCTATTGCACAAAGATGGCAAGTCCTTGTGGGGCCATTTTTGTTCCCCATGAGGAAAACAGCTTGTAAATCATAAGTTTTTTTTGAAAATGTAAAAATTCAGAAAGTTTTGTGTTTTGTGTATAGTGGTAGGGTTAGTGTAGGGGGGTAGAATGCAGTTTGTACAGTATAAAAAAAAACTATATGTCTGTGGAAAGTCCCCATAAAACATGAAAACGTGTGTGTGTGTGTTTGTGTTTGGGGGTGGGGGTCTGGGGGAGGGTGAATCACTGGATCTCTCCAGAAGTCTGTAATGTTGTCCTTCAGTTCTTACTCTGCCTGCGCAGCAGCTCCTCTCATCTCCCGATAATGGTAAGTCATCAAGCTTCATGAATCCGACCTTATAAGTGCAACAATACATCTGATATATTTGTGTGTCTTTCTGCAGATTATTAGGACACTTTCTCCATTCATTGTCCTCTTTGTTGTCTGCTGTTACGCAGAGGTAAGACAGAAAGCTTTCTGAATTCTTTGGACAACATTCTCTAACAGAAGAAAAAGTGACTTTAGGAGTCGAACGGAACACTTTTGTATATTTTCTATCTTGGATAACTGCAAATAACTAGCCATAAATCCATCTAGATATCAGAGGATTTCATTTATTTGGCATGTGCGGTGCCTAATCATTTGAGACAGTCACTAAAATATTATTTTTATGCTTTTTGTTAATGAACGGGTTTCTAAAGTAGGACTATCTTTCGAGAGTTCATTTGTTAAGATAGGTTCATACATATAGTGTTAATTTAAAGGGTCTTTCCGTTTTGATTTCTCACATGCAGAACAAAAGGTTACATTTTTAGGGGTTCAGAACTTTTTAGGGGTTCATATCAGGGTTTCATTTGATGGATTTAGTTAATTAATTTAAATTTAGTTCAGTTAAATTCATTTGTTAACATGAATTAAACAGCTTGTAAACATAATTTATCACTAGAAAAATTGAAATAACCCATTAAACATGAAAGCATTATGCGTTAATGTAAGACATTAGAACCGTTTCGGCAATAAAGTGTTCTTTAAAATTGGGTCAAGAACCCGTTTTACACCCCATCAAACCTTTTTTTTCCCAAAAAGAATTGCATTGAGTTAGGTTTATGGGCTAAAGGAAATGACTAAACATAATGGATAATATACTAGCCGGAAAAAATATTGTTGGTTTAACTTAAAAAATGAAGTAACCTAGTTGCCTTCAAATTTTAAGTTCATTGAGTTAATACAATGAAGGAGATTGATTTAATCATCAGAAACTCAAAATATTATGTTATCTGAACTAAATGATTTAAGTTGATTTGACAAAATAAAAAAATGTTGTGATTACAAATCATGAACATATTTTTTTTTACAGCGTTTTTCTACGAATTGTTTTCAACTTACTGTAACTTCAGAAGCAGCTTTTTTTCGGAGTGTTAACGTATTAGTGAGGGCGTCAGACGTGAGCAAAATATTCTGGGCATGAACAGCTGCTGTTTGTCTTGGCAGGTAAAAGCAAAGTAATTGGTATGTGGAGTAATGGAAAGCAAAACAACAGCAGACGTTACCACCTGGGTGGGATAAGGGCATTTTAACACCATTACTTCACACAGATGCAAAGGCACAGCCATCCTGTCTGTCACAAACACAAACGTGTGTGTAACTATCAGAGTTGAAGCTCTGGGCTGTGATCAGTCCTCTGGTCTTTTGCAGTGTTGACATAGCTAGACATGGCAGATGTGCTGGTCTTTTCATGTTAGGGCCTGGAGACATCTGCACATCATCGTGACGAACGACCACATGCCTTTTCATTAGACACCAAACAGCAGGTCTCACACACCGAAGCTCTAGCAGTTGTGTCGAGGGTATAGTTTCAGGGATGACTTGTCAGCTAACATCTGCATGATGATGAGATGGTTGAGGAACAGATTGACCTTTTGGAGAGTTTGGTGTCTAAGATTTTAAGTTTAAAAAAACTTTACTTGAAGGTGTGTGCATAAGACTGACATGACACCTTCATAATCAAAAAAGGAAGTTTTATGCATGTTTGTGACAACTGTCATTAAGTGTCATTCGCTCAGTTATGACATTTTGAATGCAAATATGACATTGTTTGAGATGTCTTTGTTATGACACCTTGACATAAACCAATACATCATAACCTGTCAGTGTCTTTGTCGTGACAACTTGACATTACTAAGACAACACAACCTGTCATAAACATGACTTAGCAGATTAATTATCAAACTTAAGAAAGCACCTAGCTTTATGGGTTAACATTACATTAAACTGTCAGGTTGGTTTTGACATTGGCTGTCATGAAGCCATTATAACCCTTTAATGACAAATTCAGTTAGTACCACTGTAGTTGAGCTCACGGAAAATATTCATGACACAGTTATAATGGCCTCATGACAGCCAATGTCAAAGCCAATCACATGTCATGATGTCATAACAAAAACATCTTAAACGATGTCATATTTGCATCCAAAATGTCATTATTGAGAGAGAGACACTTAATGAGAGTTGTCATAAACATGCATAAACCCTATTTCATATTCAAGACATATGTCATGTCATGATTATGACGGTGTCATGTCTAATTAGATGTATTGTTTCCACTATGCAGGTTTAACAAAAAATGGAAAGAAGCGTGGTTATGTCATCATACTAAAGGTAAAGTGTATTTGAGTAAATTGGGCCAATTTTGACAGTCATATCAATGGCAAAATTGACTTAAACTCACCATGTATGCACAGGCGTTTAGTAGTCAATACTTCATTTACCAGTTCCTCCAACATAAACAGTTACCCTGGCATTCATTCACTGTAAAAAAATATTGACAGTTTAACTTAAAAAAGTAAGTAACCTGGTTGCCTTAAAATTTTAAGTTCATTGAACTGGAAAAAGTGAGTTAATACAATGAAGGAGATTAATTTAACCATCAGAAACTCAAAATTATATGTTATATGAACTAAATAAATTATTTAAGTTGATTTGACAAAAGAAAAAATGTCGTGATTACTAAACTGTAAATTTTTTTTGTTGGTTTAACGTAAAAAAAAGTAAGTAACCTGGGTTGCCTTAAAATTTTAAGTTGATTGAACTGGAAAAAGTGAGTTAATACAATGAAGTAGATTCATTTAACCATCAGAAACTCAAAATAATAAGTTATCTCAACTAAATAAATTATTATAAAGTTGATTTGACAAAAGAAAATATGTTGTGATAACAAATCTTGAAAATATTTTTTACAGTGAAGAAGTGTGTGATCTAGGCCCCCTCGGGCAGAAAGTAAAATACTGCAACTAGATAACACAGGATGGTATCAGATAATTTGCATTCTGCCGCTGCAGGGTACGAATCTAATGAGCTTCTGGATGGTGGCCTGTGAGTATGAATAGAAAGTCAAATTTCTTTCAGTAGAGAATTAAACCAGTGGTGCCTGTGCAAGGTGTTGTGTGTGGTTGGTAGGGTGTTGCTAAAGTCTTTTGAGTGGGTTTTGCAAGTTATACACGCTTATTTGTTACAAAACAACCTAGAAGCCCACCTACAGTATGAACCTTTGACTGTAGACGTGTGTTTAGCACTCAGCAGAACTAGAATGTAAGACTCCTTTACTAATATTGTGAGGATAGAAATATGGATTTATCGATATACCAAAGGCCTGAGATTGAATTAGTGGATTCAAAAATGTGTTTAGGGTTTGGGAAAGCACTAAATTACTTATGGACCGTGTTTATTACAAATGCTGCAGATTGCGCTGCAACACACAGGAACAAACACTTTTAGATCGTTTTTCAGCACTTACTGAAAGGTGTTGCAATGAAACATTATTGCAAAACCCAGACAAAGCAAGCAATTGTAAATATTTGGCATAAGGCCTGAAAAACTTCTACCATTGATGAAGTGAACACATTTTTCTTACATCTTGTCTTTGATGCCTGCGGTTTCAAATTAGTTGAAGTGTTAAAAATGTGGATAAGTACATGTTTTTTTTTGTTTGTTTTGTTTTTTAGAGTAGTTTCCTAATGGGTGTTAATGAATGTGAAACATTTGTTCACGGTTAAAGGAGTAGTTCACTTTTGAAAAAAACTTTTGCTGATAATTTACTCACCCCCATGTCATCCAAGATGTCCATGTCTTTCTTTCTTCAGTTGAAAAGAAATTAAGGTTTTTGATGAAAACATTTCAGCAATTTTCTCCATATAATGGACTTCAATGGGAACCAAACGGTTCAAGGTCCAAAAGACCGTTTCAGCGCAAACTGTTCAAAGGGCTTTAAATGATTCCAGACGATGAATAAGGGTCTTATCAAGCGAAACGATCGCTCATTTAAAAAAAAAAAAATGTATTTACTAAAAGAGCGATCGTTTTGCTTGATAAGACCCTTATTCATCGTCTGGAACCGTTTAAAGCCCTTTGAACAGTTTGCAGTTTGCACTCAGGTGTTTCCTTTTGATATTTCGCTCGCATCATCAAGTGTTTACAGCAGGTTTACATTGGAAGTTCGATCATAGATTTGAGTTCGATGCGGCTGTGTCGGCACATAACATACGTCATAAATAAACTTATCTGATTGGCTTACGGGTAACCAATGATTTTAAACTTCAGACAAGCGCCCCCTAGCGAGAGAGAAAACACTTCTCTATTATGCCATTCCAGACTCTGTGTACGAAGCAGTAACAGAGTCTGGTATTACTCAGAGCTAAAAAGGTAATTTTCGAAAAAGCATAATAGGGGCACTTTAAAGGGATACTCCACTTTTTTTTTTGGAAATAGGCTCATTTTACAACTCACTCAGAGTTAAACAGTTCAGTTTTACCGTTTTCAAATCCATTCAGTCAATTTTTTGATATTTAGAAGAATATCAGTAACCAGACAGTTTCTGGTCCCATTGACTTCCATAGTATATTTTTTTCCTACTATGGAAGTCAATGAGACCAGAAACTGTCTGGTTACTGATATTCTTCTAAATATAAGAAAATCGTCTGAATGGATTCGAAAATGGTAAAACTCAACTGTTTAACTCTGGGGGAGATGTAAAATGAGCCTATTTCCAAAAAAAGTGGAGTATTCCTTTAAATCTTTATACTAGAAATCCTGTGGATCATACCGACCAAACTTTGTTTTTCCACCTCCACGATGACATCGGTGCCATCCATTGTGTTGACTTTTCAAAAAGTGACGTAAGATGTAGTATTCCTTGCTTTACCCATTGCATTGACTGTGAAATAGTAGTCTTTAATTATATGCATTTATGGAGAAATTACAAAAACAAAACGTCACGTTCAATGTTCATTTTGACCACGAACAAACAATGACCTATCACTTTAATTCTGTGCCGGCAGCATAGCAAAAATAGACAAAAGGTTGCGCTGCTGAATCTGCACTGCTTCTGCAACCACATTCATTTCCAGTGTGAATTCTCTAAGCTGTTAACATGGGCACGTACTGCATGCATACGGATCACGAAACGAGACTACATCCGAACAAAAGCCAGAATGAGAACAGCCAGTGCAGTCAGTCTTTCATACCAGGGGTTTATTTCATGGTTAGGAGTGTATAGTGACTTCTGTTCACTAATGCTCTGCTGTCATCTAACAGAGTCTGTCTGCTCTGATCTCCATCAGACGATCTCAGCTGACACACTCTGGAATGTGAGGAATGTTCTGTCTGCCCTCTGGTTTTAGGTCAAAGCCCGGTGTTTGTGTGTCTTCTATGCTTTTTACAGCCTGTTGGTGGTGATATTTGTGTGAAAGTAGTTTCCGCTCTGCTCAGCTTATTGCTGTTAATTTTCTGTTGAATTTGTGTTCAACACCATAAGGGTGTGAATTCCTCTGTCTCTTGGCTCTCTCTCTCTCTAACTTCTTGTTAATATTAATATGTTTAACTCTCATTTCATCATTCATAAGTGTGGGGAAAGGGAACACTGACTGTATTGTCATACTAAATCCGTTTGATGGTATACCTTAACCCTCAGGTGCTCTTCGTTTCGGAGTCACACTTGTTATATTCCCGGTCAAAAGTGACCGGACACCTAAAAATGAAACTTTCTCCATCCCAGTAAAACCAATGCAATTTATTTTTGTTCTATAATATTTATTCTTTTTAATTTAGTATTTTGAGACAATTTAATTGAATTTATGAATATTTATGCAATATTTATGGTTTATTTTTGCCATGGTAAAATATATATATTTTTCTATATATATTTTATTTTATTTTTATTAATGCAGTATTTTAGTTTAATATAGAGTCTAGGCCTTCAGAAATTTTTTTTTTTTTTGAAGAAAATTAGCACCATCTGGTTACAGTATAGAGAAAAAGCATAGAATCATGATGTAACCGCTAGATGGCATGTACAGCTCTCTGGAGAGGCATGTGAATTCCCCAGCTGTTTATGAACACTTTTTTTTTTTTGTTGGATTTGAATATATAGTTGAAACAATCTCAAAAACTATTTCTTTCTTATTAAAAAAAAATTGACAAACAAAAATTCACAATTTTTTTTTTTTTACAATTTGCCATTCATTTCCTATGGGGGTCATTTTTGACCAAAGACCACAAGTGTGACTATTTTTTTAAGACCACTTAGCATGCTCAGATCATGACCTCAATTTTTTTTGTGTGTTCACATACATAATGCCATCAAAGTATCCAAGTTTTGTAACATTCCGATGAAGCTGTGATTTTTAAAAATTCAAAACAGACTGAAGAGCACCAGAGGGTTAAACAACTGAAATACACTATGGTTTAAAACTAGTCTCTTATGCTCGCCAAGGCTGTATTTATTTTATTAAAGGTCTCTGACATGGGGTTATTTTATTATTTTATAATGTTTCCTGGATTGCCCTTATAATATGTTTTTTTAAATCAAAAATAGTCAAAATTTAGAAATAAAAGGCAATTTTCCTAGCCTGATTTTAGCCTCTAATTTGAACGCTCTGTTTGAAGGGGCGTGTCTGCTGTGGGATTCAGTGTAACCGCCCACTTCTGTGATTGGCTGACATGCTTTGCTTTTGAAATAGCTACGAATTACATGCAAAACTTTTACTACAGCTATTATAGGTTTTTACTATTACAGCTATCAAGATTAACGAATCTTGAGACGTTTTTGAAGTATTTAGATCTATTCCCATCACATAAAATGTTGTTGTGATGAGCATTAAGCAAGCAGAGTACAGTCTGTCGATCGCGAGAATAAAGATCTTATCATTGCAACGCAGTTTCTTCACTCTCTCTAATGCTTTCGCCAATGCAGACACGATGATGTACATACAGTGAGATCTTTGTTGTGCAGTGTGCGTCATTGATTACAACGAGTTGTCCAGATAAACTCACACTGTGTGGAAACATTGTTCTTTGATCGCTTTCTGTATAATTTGTTCAGAATTTAAATAAGATTATTTTCATCCTACTAAAAGAAACGATGTGAAGTTGATATGTTAGTCACTTGCTTGACTTACTAATGCATAAACAGTACTGAACGATTAACTTACCTGTCTGAACTTGAACATTTAGGCTACACATCAGAAATTGTTGCTTGGTAGCTCGATAGATTCATTTTCAGACGTTCATCGAGTTGAGGAAACAGTCGTCGGTGAAATGTTTGGACCATACAAAATTTTGGGAGTTGAGTCGGCGCATTTCCAGAGAAAATAAAATGAACCCATTGTTTCTTCAGGCTCGGATGAAGAAACTAAAAAATACTTTTGTGTTCATGTGTACATCCGAATACCGAGCAACTGCCATGCTTCGCTCGTTTGCAAGCCATGATATCTCTCGGGGAAAAACTCAAATCTCAAAGCTATTTCTGTAGGAAAAACTCGCACGTTCGTACTTCCTAGCTCATTTTGGGCGAGCCAAATTTTCTGGGCGGGAAAAGCAGAGTAAGGGGAGGTAACCTTTCCTCGTTATGACATAATAACCTTGGAGATTCAAGATCAGCGTGTCTGAGCTGCAGTGAAGAGAAAAATAGCCAAAGCTCAGTTTACACCGATTGAATATTCTAGACACGAGGGGACCAAATACAGGCCAGGGGAACTAATGTAAAAAAAAAAAAAAAAAAACTCAGGAAGTGAAAATTTCATGTCAGGGGACCTTTAACATAGAGTTAAAACATTATTACACTTTTAAATAACTGGATACACTATGTAACTTTTACACTATGTAGCTTTAGATGTTAAGAAACAACTTCATGCGTCTTGAGAACGAATATTGTTGCGGGAGCTACTTCTCTCTGTTTATGTTGCTGTTTATATGATGAGTCACGCAGATACTGGGCTAGTCTGAATATAAACACTTATTATAGGCGTAACATAGTGATTCAAGATAAGACAAAAACACTGTTTATTAATAGATGGATTCATGATGTACTCGCTTATTATATATTTTTGTAATTTTTGAACCACAAATATTTGGAAGTCATGTGTCAATGTTGCTGTGTTGGATTGGTAATGGTACTCAAATGAATATAGAAGAGGAATAAACAAGCTGTTTTCCATATTTTAGAAGAGCCAATAAGAGCCAATTCAAATATCTTGAATCAGACCCAGTCTAAAAACTTTAAAAGTATCTAGTGAGGAAGCAAGAGAATTTGTTTTATTTATCGTGTCAACAGATGAAATAAATAGACAGGCCTGTTAGCGTTGCCCTTTGTGCACATTTACCATTTACACAGAAACACACACACACCACTGGAAAATTGTGACGCTTTCTCCAAATGAGATCTTATTATTGGCACTCAATGCACATTTTATGCGAAAGATTCATTGCATGTGCACTCTTTCTGTGAGATAGAAAGAAAGAGAAGCATCACATTAGGCTGCTCCACCCTACTCAAAACTCCCTTCCTTGAAATACCATTCTATTGTCTTCCACAATCTTCCTAGTGAGATGTTAAAGGTCAGAGTTAAGGGGTCACAGGGCATGGAGAAATGGACAGATGTCCTAAGGCCATGTCAACATGTTTACAACTATTAAGCCATCTTCCATACACTCCAATGCAGTCTGCACCGAGCCAGCAAGTTTAACATGCTAAAAAGAACATCTCTCGAAATTAATTTGATTTTATTTTATTGTCAAGAATATTAACAGTGTTCCATTTTTTGGTCTTTTTAGTTGCACTTTAAACTAAACTAAAAATAAACTTTGACAGAGGTGAAAGACTGCAAATTGGTAGAGGTTAAAAAGTCTGCTGCTTAAAAATGAAACAAAATTCTTTGTGAAATATTTTATCTCACAATTTTGACTTTTTCTCTCGGAATTTGATAAATAAACAAACGATTCTTACTTTTTTCTCACAATTTCAAGTTTATATCTCAATCCTGAGAGAAAAAAAAATCTAAAATGTCCAATATAATAGTTTACATCGCAATTCTGATTTTATTTAACGCAAATCCTAATGTCTCGCAATTGCAAGTTAAAAAGACAAAATGGCGCCAGATAAATTTGCAATTGCAAGAAAGAAGCCAGAAATGTGAGGTAAAAAGTTGCAATTACCTTTATATTTATTTTTTTATATAGGATACACACATGTTGCAGATGGTTTGTACACGTGTGGGAGTGTGTGTGCCATCTGTCTTGCAGACATGAGGTGCTTCTTTTCGATGTGCGTTTCATTGAGTAACAGCATGCGCTGGTGTATTGTCATGGTCAGACTCTTTGTTACTCACCCTCTTTATTAGATGGCAAAGGTCAGCAGGTCTGGCACCCATCTGGAGCTGTGTCACTACGGCTTTCACTTCAGTCTGCACCAATCAGACAGCACAATAAACGGGCAGCACATGTCTGTGGGGAGTGAGTAAGCGAGATCTGTTTATTTAGGTGAAAACATGAGTAATACTACTGTGGGTGTGTGTGTAAGGTCATTTGTTATTTGGATGTTGCCAAATAAAGAAAACAGCAATTTTATAGTCATTTAATATAATTCTGCTCCAGATTTTGTTAATTATGAATTTATGGAAGCCCTGAACCGCAACGTAAAGAAATAAAATAAATAAATATATAAATAATCAATCTAGCATTTCAGTCGAAATATGTTCAGCAGTGAGGACCATCTCGGACAATGGGATTAATAGCTATAAGGTTTGGGGTTTAGTATTAAACTAACTTAAAGAAATAGTTAAATGAAAATTCTGCCATGATGCTCCAAACCTATTAATTTTAAAGAATGTCGGTAACCAAACAGTTGATGACAACAAACATTGACTTCTGAATTAGGTTTGGAACAACTTGATGCTGCGACCGAAATATCAGTTTTGGGGCGAACTATCCCTTTAAGAAAACAATAGGTCCTTCAGCATAAGGGTATTGTAACTTAATTTTCTGAAGCGTTTTCCTTCCTTCACCAGTCCTGTGTTTGGTGTAATGGACATTTTTTTTATTATTATTCTTGTTTATTGTGTGTAGGAGGTGAGGAGTAAAAGTAAAGTTTGTGCGAATGTGTTCTGTGGAGCTGGAAGAGAATGCGCTGTCACCGAGAAAGGAGAACCAACATGTCTGTGTGTCGAGGTGAGTCAGATCTATTCTATTTCAGACACACATTGTGCCTTCCTAAATACCCACATTTGCGGTCTTGGCCACTTAAGCGTTTGCACTCGACAGGAAGAAAGTGTGCAAGACTGTCCCATGTCTTAAAAAAATGCCAAAAAAGTTTAGTGCCCTGAACGCACGTCTTGAATACCACATATCCTTCCTGCAAATTAGGTTCGGGAAATCGCGAAATAACGAGGAAAAATGCTACATGTTTATTTGATAGTGAAACAAGGCCAAATACAGGAAATACATCGGCCTAAGTAGACAAGTGGTCAGGTGCAAAGTGTGGGCTTTTGAAACGACACTTAAACACATGCTACCTTTCCCACGGTTGCCAGATTTGCCCTGATTCTAGAGTTTTGGATAGGCTCAATGTTTTTTTAACAGGAATGTTGTTCAAAATGTTGATCCAGGGACATTTTTTTTTATTTGGCAAAACCACGGTGACCACTTAAAACAGTCCAAAAACCATAACTCAAAATAGGCCACTCCCATACAAAGAAATCAATATTCAAAATATAATATTTTATTGTCACTACTGTTATGCCTTACACACTATTTCAACTTGAGAATCATTGTGTAGTAGTAATCATAAACACAGTATGTTTTCATAAAGGAGCTAATAGGAATTCAAAAGTAAAAATCTTTCTCTTATTTTTTAATTCTTTTCTCCAGTTTTATCACACACACACACATAGATAGATAGATAGATAGATAGATAGATAGATAGATAGATAGATAGATAGATAGATAGATAGATAGATAGATAGATAGATAGATATTTAACTTGAAGGGAAAAAAATATTCTCCAAAATATATTGTAAAAAGACTGGGTGTTTTACATCACTAGAGTAGGTTTTGCATTGGAGATGATGGAGACCATGAAAAAAGACCATGAGCTCAACTACCTAAAAATACTTAATAAGTTATAATACCATTAATAACATGAAAATGACAGGTGGAAAAATGTCAGATTCAATTGGACACACAGCGTTTTACATCAACAACAAAACATGGAAAGGTTTTTACCTCAATTTTAAAAGTTAATAAGCCTATTTTGCTATTAAAATATGCAAAAGTACATAGTTAGTTGGCATATTATTCTTTGCATTTAGCACTGTTTTTAAGCTGCTGTCCTATCTTAACAGACCTGTGACCCATTGTTGAGTCAAGATTGACTAATTGAGAAGCGTTGATATAGATGATATAAATGTACACTTATTTTAATGTCTGTGTTTTGATCAGCAATGTAAACCCCATAAGCGTCCAGTCTGCGGAAGTAATGGGAAGACATACCATAATCACTGTGACCTGCATCGTGATGCCTGTCTCACTGGACTCAAAGTTCAGGTGGCCCATGATGGACATTGTGAAGGCAAGTGTGCATGTACAGTATAGTTTTATAGTTTATAGCGTCTAAATAGCATGATACATTAATGGAATGTTGCAATAAAGATGACTAGTGTGTTAACCGCAAAACCATAGATCATGCGCATGAGAAAGCTGTTACAACGAAATCTCATTGTTACCTAGTTTTGGGTGCTATTTAAATAATAGCAGCCATTTCCTCTCAGAAACGTCACCACATTTTCCTACATTAGAATACATAAATATGCAAGAGATTAAGAACTTTGCACAAAAAGCAGCTCCTGTTTTCAGCTGAAAGTCACTAACCTTGTTTCTGTCTTCTCATTTAGAGAAAAAAATGGAAAAGATCACCAACAGCCCAAGTGAGTAAACAAGCAGATTAGATTAGGAACTGGTTATCATTAATTTTTATTTTTATTTTCAAATGTGGTGTAATTATGTCTTTTTATTATTAGAGACCACCATCCAATGTCCAATAGGCTACTCAGGTTTAAATACTTAGCAGTTTTGTATGGACAACATTAAGTATGAGAAATAGAACCTAAAATTAAGGGAACATTTACACGACAACGTCACAACGATGCTTCCTAAAGTTTTTTTTTTTGCGTAAAGACGACAACGCTGTTGCTGTGTTTTATGCTGCCAGGCCAATTTTGGGTGATATCACTTTGTAAAGAAACACCACACGCTGACTGAACACGTAATGCAAAACAAAAAAACTTGCACTTGAAACCCGTTTTCAGAAGTTAATTGCATTCTCAGGCCCCCAAAACGCTGTTTTCGTGTAAATTAACGACCAAAATGCATAAAAAGTTTTCTCTGAAAAGTAGTATTTGAATCATTCATTATTCAAGGGTCTAAGATTATGCTTTGAAAGGGCGTGAAATCTTTTAGTTTTCGATGTATAGTAACATTGTGCTTATTCGTCCTGTTTTATTTAGTTGTTTGTTACCTTACGGACCGCAATGAGTTGAGGAGTCATGTGATTGAATGGTTGCAGTCTGAGGTGTCGCCTGACGGCTGGTTTTCTAAAGGATCCAACTTCTCAGATGTCCTGCTCAAATACTTCCAGGTTTGTGTGTGTGTATGTTGTGTTCATTGACACAAAGCATATGCATTCAGATACGCATGTCTGTCTCTCACTTGTTAAAGATGCCATCTTTTAAAAAAAATCTAATTATACTCCATATTCCATACCACATGGGGGCAGTATACCTCCAGAAAGTGAGTTGTGCCGCGGCTGCACACTCACGTCTTCAAACACGGGCGAGCGCTGTCTTGCTCTCTCTCCCTCGCGCATATTAATCAAATCACTTGATACGATAGTAAAAGGTTGGAAGACCGCAGTTTCACGTGGAGCATTTGGAGATTTTTTGAGATTAGAGACTCAATGAACAACATCTCAACACTAAATTATAAAGGCCGTCTCATAGACGCCTGTCTCAAATACAAACCGGTGCATTTCGACGATATGGGGAAATAAAAGCCTGGGCTATTATTTGAAGTTTTACGGTATTCCTTTTGTTCATATTACATTTTTATTGTTCGTTTGAATTTATTTGACAGACAGCATTCGATGTTGTTGATCAAGCTAGCGCCATTCAGAGCTGCCAACTCTCACGAATTCACCATGAGACACACAATTGACACTTTTCACACGCTCTCACGCCACACATCAAGTTTGTCACGCACAGAAAAGGACACGGAGACCGACAGACTAGACGGAGCAGGTTCGTTATGATATATAAAAAAATCTCAGCTCTCAGATTATGTCAATTTTATTACGCAATTCAAACAATAAATACACTTTTAGCGCTTGTAAATGTTACACGACAGATCCCTAGCGCACGTGAACCGATCATCTCTGCTAGCTAATGGTAAAAGAACACGAACACTGTTGAAAGATACAGTAGGCTACAACTTACCAAAATGTATTCCTCATGCATAATATCGACCAATCATTTTTACCAACAAACCGTGCGAGTTACTCGTGTATTGCAATTTGGCTGGTGGTTATGTTGCCCGCCCGCATACCGCCTCCCATGGCTGAAACTGGTATTACGACACCTGCTGCGCCGGGGCTAGTAATTTAGCATGCTGATTCATGTTGATATCTCTGCAGCACTATAACTTGTCATTTTTTTAATGACATCATCGACCTTATTTCTTCTTATTCTTTTAATGCGTGTAGCTCATTTTGAGGGCGGAAATATATAATACGGAAAATACCGTAAAACTTCAAATAATAGCCGAGTCCCAAATAGATGCCTGTTTCTTTTACACGCCTGGTGTGACTGCAGGTTTGGGTAAATAAAAGCTGGTCTCAAATAGAGGCTGGGTCTGTTTTTTAGTTTCGGTTTGTATTTGCTAAAACCCAAGCTTAAAAATCTAGACGTACCCTAGTGGCAGCACACATTATTTCACAACCAGTGTGGTCTAGCAACTCTACACAGACGTTTTAGCTGGAAAAACCCAACTCTGGTCAGGCCAATTACATCGTGTATAAGCCGGTGGAGTTCAACAAGCTTTTATTTGGGAAAATAAAAGCCTGGGTCATTATTTGAAGTTTTACGGTATGCTAATACGGGACAGTCCATCTGTGGTTGTGGGCGGAGCATGAGCAATATGACATCATATTGCTCAGAAAATCCAAATTACTTGATTATTGAGACTGTTTAGGCTTTTTGAGGATTAAAAAAAAACCAAGTGGATGGATTTTTGTATGGAGGTTGTGTCCATGACCCCTTTAAGCTGTTTGTGTCTCAACAGAAGTATGATAATGGAGACACTCAGTTGGATTCAACAGAGTTCCTGAAGTTCATTCAGCATAATGAGACCGCAATAAATGTCACCTCTCCTTATGCTGAGGAGGAGAACAACCGCCTGCTCAGGTCACACACACACATCCCCATATTTATTACAAAGTCTACTTTTGTGTTATATTGCGCATTAGAGTTTTTAATGTTTTTGAAAGAAGTCTCTAATGCTCATCTGGATTTATTTAATAATATTGTGCAAATCTGTAATATTGTGAAATATTATTCAAGTATAAAAGGACTGTTTTCATTACTTACTATTTATATGAAACAGAAATCTTTCTAACATTGTCTTTTCTGTCACTTTTATATGACTTTAACTTGTCTTGCTGAATAAAAGTATTAATTTCTTGAAAAAAAAAAAAAATCGTACTGACCCCAAAGCGCTAATTTTGCTTAATTTAATACCTTAAATTAGATAACACAAATATAAAGTTTTATGTTTAGGCCTATATCTTTACAAGTACTAACCAAAGATCATTTTAGGCATATTTATTTAGGGGTAAATGTCTTTACAGTGGATAAAGTGTTCCTTCATTTTTGTTTAGTTCAACAATGCGTCTTTAAAAAGATTCTCACTTGCATTCAGACACAACGTTCAAGTGTCACATTGACACGCTATATCGTGTTTATAATGTCCTATTGCCCTTGTTGGTTTATCTCCGTCTACGTAATCATGTTTTTTATCATGCGACCTACACAAATCAGATAGACACAGTTTGGAGTTGTGAGTTTTATTAACCTGAATACTGTCTTTATCAGTTTATCACTATCTGTGTCAATACTCTTTACAGCCACTTCTGATAATGTCTTTCTGAAGATTTCTGATAACCGATAAATCTCATGGCTACTCAAATGTAATGATTATGACCTCACTGTCCCTCTGACAGATGCACAAAGGAAGTCTTTAAATGTGCTTACAATTTTCTCACAAGATGACAAGACAAAACAAGATGTTTGTGTCATATACAGCTGCATTTACTTTGTGCATTTAGCATTTCAATTATATTGCATTTGGATAGGAACAGGCACAGAATCCATCATCAAGTATACGATACATGTTCTTCGAAAGGTCAATGCCGATACTGATACTGATACCGATAATGATGAGGTTGGCCAATGGCCAGTGTATATCAGAATGCAGATTGTAGTGTATGACAAGTGCAGAATTGCTTAAAAAAATGCTTGGCTCTTTTATGCATAACTTAATTACAGTCTTTTACAGTCATATCTATAACACATTTTAACATGGAAGATCACTGTATGCGGGAAATATGTCATGGTCACTGTAATGCATTGGAATCTGAATTGAATTTGGATTGAATCTATTCTGATCTATGTTTTGGTCATTATTCTTAAAATTGTGGCTGTTTTGGTCATTATTCTTAAAATAATTTTTTTTAGTGGCTATAAATCAGACATATCTGATTGCAAACTGATGTGATACTACCATTTAAAGGTGTTTCCCCCCCAATAAATGTATAGTTTTATTCAGCAAGAACTCATTCAAGACATTTATAATGTTACAAAACATTTCTTTCTGAAGTTTTTCTTCATCAAATAATCAAAGTATATCAGTTTCCACATAAAAATATTAAGCAGCACTACTGTTTTTAACATTGAACATAAGAAATGTTTCCAGAAATGCAGCAAATCAGCATATTATAATGATTTGTGATTTGTGAAGGATCATGTGACACTGAAGACTTCAGAAAATTCTGCTTTGCCATTAAATTACATTTTTAAAATACATAAAAATATTTTAAATTGCTATAGTGTTTCACAGTATTACTGTATTTTTTTATTATTAAATAATTATGGTGAGTTTAATTTTAAATATTTTAAAATTTTACCAACCCATTTTCTGAAACGGTTGTTGAATGGGCTTTCTTTAAATGTCCTTTACCAGCTTGGAAACTGAAGTAGTGCTGAGTATTGTTTTCTTAAGGGTAACTTCGCGTATGATTGTGTTCATGGAAATGATTGTAATGCTAACAGAAGGTTATAAGAAAAATATTGCACTGGTGGATGCAATTAAATATTAAAAACAGTGGTGATTGTGTTCTACAGGAGTCTTTGTGTTGATGCCCTCATTGAGCTGTCTGATGAGAATGCTGACTGGAAACTGAGCTTTGATGAGTTCCTCAACTGCCTCAGGCCTGGATTCAACCCTCCAGAGAGGAGTAAGATCTACTGTACCACCACTAAGCCCACTTTCCCTGGCATAATAACCAGCCTGTTCTCATCCCAAGGCGTCATATAATGACGCTTTTGACAATGCGTATACATCCAACGCACATGGCACCCTTTATCGTCAATATGAGACGCAGATATATATGGGGCAGTAGGCGCCACCTAGTGGTCTAACCCTAACCCTAACCCAAACCTAAACCTACCCATAACCGAAGCATGTTATATTGACGCTAAAGGGCATAGATATCCATAATAAAGGCTAGATGTCTTACGGCGGAGTCTCTGTCTTCATCACCGGCGGCCATCTTGTCACAGGCAAGTATTCTGGCGGTCTTTTGGGTTCCTGATGTAAGATGAGCGATCAGCGCGAACACAAATACTCTTATCTCGTCTTAATCTTGATGGATTTACAAACGGTTTGGTTTCTTACAAACAATATAAACATGGCTATAATCCTGGCTTATTTTTTATTTATACACGTATTATTCATGTATGCAGTGTCATAACTACATCTCTGACGTTTATAAAAAACCAAACCGTTTGAAAATCGATAGAAAATTGAGCAAGTTATAATTATTTAAAAATTACATACACCATTGAAACACAATGTTATGAGTGACAAGATCCATTGGCCAGCAGCGCGGATGAGACATCCAGCCTTTATTATGTATATCTATGCTAAAGGGTGCCATGTGCGTTGGATTTATACGCATTGTCAAAAGCTCAGTATATGACGCCCTAGGTCGGATGAGAATTAGGGCTGGGCAAAAAAATCGATTTTTCGATTAATCGTTTTTTAAAATGTGTTCGATTCAAAATCGATTCTCACCGGCCACGAATCGATTTTTTCCATATAAAGGGCTCGCGGACGCGGTGCTGCATCTTCTCGTCTCTAGGCAAGCGCCAAGCGCTGCAGCTGTCGATACACACACGCGTTTAGGAGTCGGGACATGACAGAATATTCACTTAACAATCGGGCCAGCATTGCATCGTAACCTATGATCGTAACTAACGTTTATCATTTTCACGTCTTTTTAAGTTTTACAAGCAATGTTAAACTATCCCGTGCTCGCGCACTCTCAGAGATGTCTTTCACTGCGTGCCGTGCACAGTAACGTTACAGCCTAAATCTGCCTCACAAACAGCTTGCCAGAAACAAAAGTTTTATCCCTGGATTATATCACTTTAACAGTTAAAACACGCAACATTATGTCAAAACTCTGGTCTTGGTGAGTAACCTCGTAAAGACAGTCGGTAATGTCTTAAATTAGCATTAAACGCGTGTAACAGAAAGTTAATGAAACAGTAATGGATTCGCGCACTAGTTCTTAAAGTGAACGCAGCCATTTGTGTCAGTCATTAATTCTGTTGTCATAACAACAGAATATAGTATTAATTGTAAGCAATCAGAATTAATAGCCTTTGTATTTAATTCAGTCTGGACTAAAAAGACTATACAGTGTTATTTTACATTGGATTACTTTAGTCAGTTTCTGTAGTTCTGACATACCCAAAAAACTACCCCAAAATGTCTCTTAATTTGTGTCTTTATTCTATTGTATTAATTTGTGCTACTTTTTTCAATTTAATTCAAAGATTGAAATCAAGCTTCCATACATAAACTCTTAAAACAAAAATAAACAAAAAAATACATTACCATTTAGGTAAGATCAATGTAAAAAAAATGTCTAAATATTTATATATTTATTTATCTATATCTATCTTAAACATAAAATAACATGATACTGTTTGATCAAGCTGTGCGACTGTTCTGACATTTTTTGTATATTGCATCAAAATCCTGTTTATTCTTTGTATGCATTTAGTGTACCTAAAATAAAAAGAGTTTTATATACAGGTTTATGGCTCTTAATTTCCTTGTATTAATTAACCACTAGTAAACTTATGTCAACTGTTCTTTTTTATAAATATAGGATTTATATTACATCTTCATTATAGTCGAATCGAGAATCAAATCAGGAATCGAAATCGAAAATTGAATCGAGAATCGAAATCGAATCGAGAATCGAAATCGAATCGAACTGAGAGCTTGTGAATCGAAATCGAATCGAAATTGAAATGTGAATCGATACCCAGCCCTAATGAGAATGCGTTGTAATAACGCATAGTATTATATATAAACAGACCTATGTATGAACATAAAGCCTGTGTGTTGAGTGCTGTTGCATGTTTTTAGAGTGCGCCTTAGAAGATGAGACGTACGAGGATGGTGCCGAGACTCAGGTGGAATGTAACCGCTGTGTTTGTGCCTGCGGGAACTGGGTTTGCACTGCTGTTATTTGTGATGGTGAGCTACTACTTGAGACCTGAGATTTTACTGTGTTTTTTTCTGCAAAGTCTGGGATTTGGACAGCAAAGCTGAATAAAATTGGATTTTTTAAATGTGGAATGTGGCCTGACTCTCTTTTCTCTCTCTCTCTCTCTCTCTCTCTCTCTCTCTCTCTCTCTCTCTCTCTCTACAGGTACAAATAAGTTACATGATCTTGAGGAAATGCAGGGAAATGATCAGGAAATGACAGAAGAGGAGTGGATTCAGACAGTGGACAAACTTAATAAACATCAGGTTGGTACAGAGTGTAATGTTGGAAATCTGAGCAAGTATTACATATGTGACTTGAATTGTTTTGCCCTCATAGGAAACTGCCGAGAAGATGAAAGTGGCAACTAATAAGGTTTGAGGAGTAGTCGAAGAGGAATAATGAACATTTGTCAAGATTTCAGCTTCAATCAACCTGTGTTTGAAAGAAAAGAGAAAGTTTAATATTTTTTCATAGTTTTCATAGCTGTGTTCTGTTATATTATTTGTTATAGTTTTTATGGGGGGTTAAAAAAACCTTTTTGTAACCTTTCACTATACTTTTAATGTTTCTAGGCAGGGGTTCATATTTCACATTAAAGTTAACAGAAAATATGAAATTATGTTTTGTATAAAGACCAGGATCAACAAGATTTTTGAATGTATGATGAGTAAAATTATACCCCTCCAATTCTGATTATTGTAATATTACAAATATCTCATGTACAGTGTAGAATTGCGTTTTAAATAGGCCTAGTATGTTTTGGACATTGTCAGCATGAATTCCTTTTATATTGTGATTGAGTCGTTCACTTTTGAAAAAACTTTTGCTGATAATTTACTCACCCCCATGACATCCAAGATGGCCATGTCTTTCTGTCTTCAGTCGAACAAAAATTTAGGTTTTTGATGAAAACATTCCAGGATTGTTCTCCATATAATGGACTTCAGTGAGAACCAAACGGTTCAAGGTCCAATAGACAGTTTCAGTGCAAACTGTTCAAAGGGCTTTAAACGCTTCCAGACGATGAATAAGGGTCTTATCAAGCGAAACGATCGCTCATTTAATAAATAAATATCAAAGTTTAAGTTTTATAAGCACAAATGCTCACCTTGCTCTGTTCTGTGATGTACGTTCGTTACTCTCCTGTTCGAACTCGTTCATCAAAATGAACGAATCTTTTCCCGAGTCATTTGGTTCATTCAACGAACGAATCGATTCGGAAAAAGATTCGTTCATTTTGATGAACGTTTTCGATGACATGATGGGGGTGAGTAAATTATCAGCAAAAGTTTTTTGAAAAGTGCACTACTCCTTTGAGAGGGCTCACACAAACTATGTAACATTTTATAAAATTAAAAAAAAACAAAAAAACAAAAACAAATCTGAATTAGGCTAATTCAAAACATTCTGCTCAGATTGGTCTGTTTGCTTGTTGTGGCTTTTTTCATCTGGTCAGGCTGGGAGACCATTCCAGCTTTGCCTTTTAGCATGGAAATACTAGCATTTTGTTCTTCATGGAAATACTACAGCTGTTTCGCCTCTAACTTCTCTATATGGTCTATATTAACCTTAACTGGCAATCACTCTATACAGCTATAAAGCAATAGTCCAAAAAAAGAAACTGGGCCAATTTTAATCTAGTTATCAAGCATGAAGCATCACAGCTGCCAAATGGGCATAAAACCATAGTAACTATTTGGACTACAGTAACCCCTAAAGTAAAATGCCTTTTTATTGTCTCTCATCTACATGTGGAAAATAGTAGCTTTATGCATTTAATACAATAACTAATCTTTAATAAAAGCAGACCTGCTGACTGCCAATGGGTTTTTATGTAAACACGCACTCAAACTAAACGTGCAGGGTTACGTTACATAAGAAACTTATGAGACGGAGAAAACTTGCCTCATGTTTGGATGACCAACCACTGACTGCAGGAGGCGTGACACGCGCTTTCTAACACAGATAAAACCACCAAAGTCTTCGGTCAGGAGCGCGCATTTCGGACACTTTAGTCAAAGATTATAAGTGTATGGATTGCAACTCGAAGCGCAACTTCAGCAACATTTTAAAATATTGATACTTATTCCTTTATTATTATTTGACTTCACTAAATCCTAGTCCATATGGCTCGTTTCTCAAGCATGGACGACAAGTGTGCTGTTTTACATTTATCCCGTCTGCGTCTGGACGACTTAAACTTGGATCATCTCGCGGACAGTAAAAGAAAACAAATCCAGCAGCTCCATCTCACTTATAATCGTTTATCGTGTCTTCCACCTTCTGTCTGTTTTCTTTCTAACCTGGAATATCTGGATATGAGCAATAATGCGCTCACGGTCATACCAGATGACTTTATGCGACTTACAAACCTAAAGACGTTTGTGGCAAAGAACAATCTTCTGAACGAGTTCTCGTTCCCTAAGGAGTTCGAGCGCATGCAGGTAGAAACTCTGAATATGAGTGGAAACAGGTTTGAGGATATTCCCATACAGTTCCTAAAAATGACTACACTGCAGTCCCTGTCACTTGGAGGAAACAGATTGAAGAACATCCCTTCAGAAATAGAGAACCTGGCCAGGTAGGGATTGTTTGTTTCTATTGCTTTAGGACAAAACTCTGTGGGAAATGTCTGACAGTCAGCAGCTGTTCTAGGGTACGACGAACCTAATAAGAGATAAACGAACATAATAAGAGATAAACCGAGAGAGAGAGAGAGAGAGAGAGAGAGAGAGAGAGAGAGAGAGAGAGAGAGAGATACTGCATCTGTTGAGTGCCAGACAGACTCAGGTGTGACCCGGCGGTCAGTGTTACAAAACTAGACAGTAGTTGAATAAATTCCATGGCCTGGGGCTGACTGGGGGCTTTTGGGTAAAATATTAACTAAAATAGAAAAAAAACGAAGCTAGGGCCGACTCTTATTATGACATAACAGAAAATGACTGTTTATGACCCATTGGTGGGACACTGTTTTTCTGTTTTTTACACTGGGATTTTCTGTTTTTTTTTGTCCTCTTTGTGATCACAATACTGTAATACTAATTTAGCTTTTCACATAAGCCTATTAATCTCCACACTGTCTACATAGTTGTCAATATTTTTTAAAGTAGCCTACATTTGAAAACAGCGACTTTCTTTTTTTAGAGAAGCATTTTATTGGACTAAATTTGGTTAATTCCTGTCTTGAGAAGATATTTTGGATATCCTGATATCCTGTACTGACAAGCAGTATTTTTGGGTAATTTTCCAGGAGGAGAAATACTTCCTTTTTTTTGTCCACTAAGCTAGCCTCAAAGCTAAAACAAACTAAAAGCTACATAACTTAATGCATCTTTAAAGGAATAGTTCACACAAAAATGAAATGGTCCTATATGATTTACTCCCCCCAAGCCATTCTAGGTGTAGCCCACTGTAAAAAAATATTGTTGGTTTAACTTAAAAAAAGTAACCTGGTTGCCTTAAAATTTTAAGTTCATTCAAATGGAAAAATTAGTTAATACAATGAAGGAGATTGATTTAATCATCAGAAACTTAAAATATTATGTTATCTGAACCACATAAATGATCAAAGTTGATTTGACAAAAGAAAAAATGTGTCTTTCTTCTTTAAGCTGAACACAATCAGAGTTATATTAAATAATATCCTGGCTCTTCCCAGCTTTGTAATGGCATTGATTCATTCGACGCCACGCCAGTGGGCCAATAAATGCCTTCTGAAGTGAAGCGATGGGTTTTTGTAGAAAGAGAGAGATAAGCTGTTAGAGAGAGAGAGAGAGAGAGAGAGAGAGAGAGAGAGAGAGAGAGAGAGAGAGAGAGAGAGAGAGAGAGAGAGAGAGAGAGAGAGAGAGAGAGAGAGAGAGATACTGCATCTGTTGAGGGCTGTTGAGTGCCAGACAGACTCAGGTCTGACCCGGTCAATGTTACAAACATTGTTGAATAAATTCAATGGCCTGGGGCTGACTGGGGGCTTTTGGGTAAAATATTAACTAAAATAGATTGAAAAAAAAAAAAAAAATGAAGCTAGGGCCGACTCTTAGACAAATAATAATTATATAACAGAAAAAGACTCTACTCATAAGTTAATGATCTCTGCTTTCATTCATACCTAGAAAGTTAATATTAAATCTCCCTGTTTCATCATTACATTGCAAAATTTTTACTAGTCAGTATTTAGATGTAATATGAACTTCCACCCATTGGTGGAATACTGTTTTTCTGTTTTTGACACTGGGATTTTGTATGTTTTTTTTTGTCCTCGTTGTGATCACAATACTGTAATACTAATTTAGCTTTTAACATAAGCCTATTAATCTCCTCACTGCCTACATAGTTGTTAATATTTTTTAAAGTAGCCTACATTTGAAAACAGGGACTTTCTTATTCAAGCATTTTATTGGACTAAATTTGGTGACAAGATGAAGAAAGCAGCATTTTTGGGCAATTTTCAAGGAGGAGAAAGACTTTTTTTGTCAACATGTAGTAGTAGCCTACATGCTAACAAATAGCTAGCCTCAAAGCTAAAACAAACTAAAAGCTACAAAACTTTGACTTTAATTTCATGGATCTTTAAAGGAATAGTTCACCCAAAAAATGTAATTATCCTATATGATTTACTCCCCCCAAGCCATTTTAGGTGTAGCCTATATGACTTTCTTCTTTCAGGCGGACACAATCAGAGTTAGATTAAATAATATCCAGGCTCTTTCTAGCAGTGTAATGGCATTGAATAGTGCCATTAATAGTTTTTGAAGTGAGTTAATTAATGCCTTCTGAAGTGAAGCGATGGGTTTTCGTAAGAAAAATATTCATATTTAAAACTTAATAAACTACAACCCTCCCACTGGAACTGTACTCTCTCGTGAAAGTGCGTATGGCTGTTGCTGGAAACCAGTGATTGTAGTTTTTAAAGTTTTGGTTATTTTTTTGTTAAAAGAAGACATTTTTTAACCCACTGGAGTCACATGGATTATGGAAACTACAGAACTCGGGCACTATTTAATGCCATTACAAAGCTGGGAAAAGTCAGGATATTATGTAGTATAACTCTGATTGTGTTCGGCTGAAAGAAGAAAGTCATATACACCTAGAATGGCTTGAGGGTAAACAAATTATGGGAAAATTTGTGGGTGAAGTGAATTATTCCTTTAACTTTTGACCTCTGCTATAGTCTAGAGATGCTGTATTTGGGAGGTAACCTCATCTCCTCCATCCCACCTGAAGTGGCTAACCTCACCAGTCTGAGATACCTGGTTCTGTGTGACAATCGCATCCAAAGCATACCCCCCCAACTCAACAAGTGAGGGCTTGTGTTACTTATTCTCTTACTGTATGTTGTAAAGTCGAAGCAGTAAAAGAAAAGAAAAAAATGTTATCATCTGATTTCTCCCCTTACAGACTACACTCCCTGCTCTCTCTCAGTCTCCACAACAACCTGCTGACCTTCCTCCCTCGTGAGATCCTCAGCCTCGTCCACTTGCAGGAGCTCAGTCTCCGTGGAAATCCTCTTGTTGTGCGCTTTATCAAGGACATGACCTACGACCCCCCATCACTTATAGAGCTAGCAGGACGCACGGTCAAGTCCCAAAACCTTCCGTTCCGCTCGTGTGACCTACCGTCCAATCTGATCCATTATTTAAACCTGGCTAGTGAATGTCCCAACCCAAAGTGTGCAGGTAGGGGAGCACAATAAGACTATAATCAGTGAAAAGTGACATATTTAGAAAAAACTAAATCTCGCAAGGATACCACTACTTTAAAGGAATAGTTCACTTTGAAATTAACTTTTGGAATGTTTTAGCTTACCTCAAGGGCATCCAAGATGTAGGTGTCTTTGTTTCCGCAGTAGTTTCAATTTTGATATTTTTTGATAATGGAGGTCTATGGTCACCACCTCAAAGAGCATGCACAGAGAAGTCCAAATTAAACATGATTTAATGACTCGTAAATGGAAGAACACATTGATGGCCTAAGACACGAAACGAGCGGTTTGTGTGAGAAAAAGAACAGTATTTATATCGTTTTTTAACTCTTGTAACCACAGCAACAAAGCGCCCGCGCCCTCAGATCAATCGGACGTGGCTGAGGTAAAAACGATATAAATACTGTTTGTTTTCTCACACCAACCGCTCGTTTCGTGTCTTAGGCCATCAATGTGTACCTAAATTTACGAGTCATTAAATCATGTTTAATTTGGACTTCTCTGTGCATGATCTTTGAGGTGGTGACCATAGACCTGCATTATATGACTGACACGAACGGTTTGACCTAAAAATAGCGAAATTAAAACTATTGCATTGATTAAAGGAATATTCTGGGTTAAGAATTTAAAATTTAGATGACAACAAAAACTAATTTCAACATTAAACATTATAACTTAACCCGAAATTACGGAGGGGCACTTCAATGGAAGTGAATGGGACAATTTCTGAGGGACTTAAAAGCAAAATTATAGTCAATAATCAATAGTATGTTACAAATGCAGTTGACTAATGATGTTATTATTTTATATGTTGACGAAAAGCTTTCAAAAAGCAAACATTTTGAATATCTGTCTACCTCTTGACACCATATCTCTCTCTCTCTCTCTCTTCATGCCCTTCAGGTGTTTATTTCGACTCGTGTGTGAGGCACATCAAGTTTGTGGATTTCTGTGGGAAGTACCGCCTGCCGCTCATGCATTACCTCTGTTCCCCGCAGTGTTCCTCTCCCTGCAGCTCAAACCCACAGAGCGACGCAGAGTCAGAGGAGGAGAACAGTGTCCCCGCAGACAGACTCCAGAGAGTACTGCTGGGATAGGACAAACCTCAAATCTGTCACAGGACTTTCATTAAACACTTTTAGCGACTCAACAAAAAAGCACTGCATGGCTATATAGTTTAACTGTGATTAATAGAGGTAGGTTTGAACTGTAAATCAAAGTTTATTAGGTTTAAAGGGATAGTTCATTGTTCTCACCCTCATGTCACTTCTAACTCACGTGTATATATATATTTTTATGACTTTTGAGACTGTATATAATCAAATTAATGTTCTTTTATTGTGTTTTCGTTTGTTTTGAAGAGTTTGAATTGACATTTGGGTGAGAAACGTGTGAAAATGGTTCCTACGTTGCTCGAAAGGCGTCTGAAAACGTTAGCATCTTGCCTAAAACAATATTTCAAGTGGGTCAGCTTGCCACAGACAAAGCCTACTGGCAAATATGGAACAATTGACTGCTTTGCACTTCTGGAAAATGTGATCAATACGTGGACAGTTACCCTTTGACCTCTTCTTTGTATTGACTGTTAATCTGCCCTAACTCTTCTGTCCAAAGGTCATGTTATGGACTATGATGGCTACTTCACACATTTCGGGAATTTTATGTAAAGCTATCATCCATGACACAACTTTGAAAATAGTTACATAAAGAACACTTTTTTTTTTGTATTTTTTTTTTTTTTTTGTCAGAAGTTTGACTATAACTAAAAGGTTTCAGATCAGTATTAAGCAGTAGTGTATATGGTCTCTAAAAGAGCTCATTATGGTTCTAATAACAATAAAACATAGATAATATACACCTTAATGATAACTTATCTGCTGTGTGTGTTCCTCATCAGCAATAGTCATCTTTTCAGCCAGTCTAACTATACAGTGATGATAGTATTGCACAATGTGGGAGTTCTTTGTCTGAGGGTTTGGGTCAGTCAGTTCACATCAATATCTGACAATTATGGGCAATTTCAATGCACTCTTCTAGCACCAGACGCGGCTATCACTCTTACTGCAAATAACAGTCTTCTATCATGGTTTACGATCTTACAGTGACATCACATGACACAGATTGCGTCACCTCTCCATCTCTCTCTGGACAGATTTACAAAAGATTCTCAAAGGTAGGATGAGTCAGCAACTTCACAGGGCGGACATTTTAGTGCACATATAAACAATTTTAGTTAACTAAATTACAAAATGGAGTATTCTGTAAAAATAGGTCTTATCTGGTCCCCCACTTTGGTCTAACTGGTCTCTTAGCTGATTTTAAAGGCACACTATGCAAGAATTGTACCTTAATATAACAGCTTCAAAGTCATTTCGGTGGTAAACAAACTCATAGTAGGGGAATCATCCTGGTAGTAAAGCTTGGGGGGAAAAAAACAGCAATGCAAGTTTGAGAGGTGCCCCCCCTGACAAACCTTGCAAGAATCACGACATGCTTTACAGCAACGACGTCACACACATCAATCACAACCAGACGACACTTTCGTGCATTTCAGACGTGCCCCCCCTGACAAACCTTGCAAGAATCACGACATGCTTTACAGCAACGACGTCACACACATCAACCACAACCAGACGACACTTTCGAGCAACGACGTCACACACATCAACCACAACCAGACGACACTTTCGTGCATTTCAGACGTGATATTCGACAATGGAAAAAGCAAAGAAAACGTGGACTAGGAAGACTAGGAAAAGAGAATGAGCCTCTCTGCTCAACCCGTAAATAAATGCATCGATCCACAAGTTTTGTTTGAGATCTTTAATGGTCTAGTGGTAGATCTTTTGTCAAGCGTGTCAGAGGTTATACTTACAGGTTCTAAGTTTGTTCTCTCTCATCAAAACTGAATATGTTCATTAGTGGTTGCAGTCTCTATCAAGCAGGGACACGTTTTTGTGCATTTTATTTTGTGATTTCACCGGAATGAGAGAGTCTCCGCAGCTGCGATAGATTGAAGCGCATGTCTGAGTGTGCTGCCACAAGAGACACTATCCCTGCGTCCCAATTCGCATACTATCCGTCCTAAATAGTATTCGAAAATAGAATTAGTACGTCCCAAATCGTAGTATGTTGAAATGAGTGTTTCAAAGATACCCGGATGGTCTACTTTTTCCGGTCAGAATCCGAAGTGTAGATCGATGCACACTCTAACGGCTGATATTGCCCACAAACCATTGCACGTTGGACGAGGATTCGGTTAGAACTACAAACACGAGTAAAAAGTGTTAAAAAACTACAGACACGTAGTCGATACGGAGGACGTGCGAGTCCCCGCGGTTGTGTAGAGAGGTTTAGATAAAGAGCTTTGAGTGATTAATTATCAGTATCTAACCTGACGAAAATGAATTTATTAAATGTTGTCCACATTATATTGCATTTGCAGCAGCATTGTGAACTTTTGTAAAGACACGTTTAGCTATTACGTTTTAAATGCATCATTATATTCAAATTGCAAACACGAGGAGAGCATGAAAGACCCACAACTGGCAGATGGATGTGCTCTCCGAAACGGTAGGAAATAAAATTAGATATAGAATGGAGGATTTTAACTGTGACAAAATGATTGACAGGGCAGTTTACGGTGACAGGATGCACGCAGCACGCGACAGAGCTGTCCCTTAAAGATGACGTGATAGTACGTCCCAAAGCTTGCCTACTCTTTTGCTACACACTCAAAAGTATGTACTTTTTCCTTACAAAAAGAGTACATACTTTTAGGGCGTAGTATAAGTACGCGAATTGGGACGCAGCGTATCCATGCCACCAAAGAATGTGATGACACTGGTAGCAGTGGACCCGAGCGCTCAACTTGAGTTCAAAAACACATTTTAGTGCTAGATCTCTTATTTAATGCAAAAAATGCACATTATGCACAATTTGTACCTTGATATAACAGCTTCAAATGGGTATTAGGCTCTGAGTGCAGAGACCATATAACAGAGACGCTCTGCGTGACGTCGACATTGTAATCTTACTTTACAGTGTTATACTCAAGAGCAGGACCCGAGAAAGTATTACTTGTGCTCAAGCCAAGGGAAGATTATGAGTGTATTTTGGATAATGATCTCAATCGTATGTTTTGGTGGAGGTGATTGTCATAGTTTTTTGTTTCTGCAAGCCTTAAAAAGTAGTAATAAACATTTACGTAAATGTAATCGGTTTGTCCAATATTTAAAAAAGGAGAAATAAGCAAATCGTAATCAGCGCTCCCTGGTGGTCTAGTGGTTAGGATTCGGCGCTCTCACCGCCGCGGCCCGGGTTCGATTCCCGGTCAGGGAACAAAAGTTTTCTTTCAATTCTCAACGTAAACAATATCTAGCTATCTTCTAAAAATTCAATGTAACGTATTATGTTGGTCAGATACTCAATCCTCAGTCACTAAATATGACTTTCTGTCATAAACTTTGATAACTGTTTTTTGAACAAAATATGTAGCTATATAATAAATAATTATAACAAAAATATATGTATATATAATAAATAATTATATACATATCTCAATAAGTTATAAATAAGTATTTGCATATTAAATGAGCATTCATAATAATTTTGTTTCTAAATGAAGTAGAACATAGGAAATCAACAATTAGAAATAAAACAGAACATCTGTAATCTAACAATCGTTTTTCAACTAAAACAATTTATTTATACTATTATAATCATACTCTATTTGGGCCTTAAATGTCTATAATATTAAAGCATTTAAAACATATATGTATGAGAAAGGCTCTGATAAATTAGGAAAGCTTGTCAAGTTTGCTTGTTAAAGGGATATTTTACCCAAAATGAAAAGTCTCTATAAATTTATTTCTCCTGCTGAACACAAAAGAAGATATTTTGTAGAATATGGGTAACCAAACAGTTGATGGACACCATTGAGATCCATAGTATGGGGAAAAAAAGTATAAATAAAGGATCACTATTATCAGTAACATTATCAAATAAAAATGATAATATCAATTATATTTTCAAATAATCCATCAATTATAATCAATATTTTCTGACTGAATTTAACATTTTGGGTGAACTATCCCTTTAAACACGTCAAGGCACTTAAGCTAATTAATATTCATGAGGCAAACGTAGTTCCTTCCTATGTGCGCAGTGAGTCAACTGCGCATAGAGCGGAAAAACACAAACATGACACCGTGAGTTGAACAAACCAGGGTTTCGTAGTTTCTATTCCCGCATTGTCAACTAAATATGTTTCGCGGTGATTAACTTGTGTTGTCAGCGATGTCTGATGGCTGTGAATGTTCCGGGAGGTGCTGATGTTGATGCTGAAGAGCCGCCGTCAATGCTGTGGGGTCTGGACCCCGTGTTCTCCGCATATTGCAGACTCTACATTACTGACATACTACAGATGAGAGAGTCCAGACAAGTACCCGGTAACGTATCTTTATCTACACAGAAATAATAATAATAATAACAATAATAATAAAGTATTGATAAATAATATCAAAGCATTTTTTTCTAAATATTTGTTATACTGCAACATAATGTTTTGTAGGAGTTTATTTCTACAAGAATCACCCACTCTTCCAGGTGGATGTACTCGGGACGGTTGTTTACAAGCGGGAGAGAGATGATTTCTACTGTTATGGAGGTCTGGAAAAACATTATTTCTCTATTATGACATTTTTAATGTCATAGAAACATCAACTTTTTAGTTGGGCATCTTATTGAGCTGTATTTTGTGATAAAATAAGCTAATTAAATGTAATCATGGTCAAAGATTTTATACACATGAAAAGTGTATAACCAGTTCTGTTGCAAAAGCATTTGGTTCCTTTATAAACTCGACCACTTAGTCATCTTGCTTTGAGAACCAAGCCATTGCTGCCCTTTAAATGTGGGCACATGTTGCACCTGGTCTTACTATTCCTTGTCTGTTTTCCTTTAACACACAGTGGATGATAGTACTGGTGTCATAAATTGTCTTTGTTGGAAAGATGAGAAATGGAAGGATCAAGGAGAACCGACTAAATGTAAGTCTTTGACTCTTCATTAGTAACATTAACATTATATAAATTACAGATGTATATCTACACTACTGGTGGTCACAAATTTGAGGTTAGTAAGATTTTTAATGTTTTTTAAAGCAGTCTCTTATGCTTGCCAAAGCATATGAGATATTGAAATATTATTACAATGTAAAATAACTGCTTTGTATTTGAATATGTTCTAAAATGTCATTTATTCCTGTGATTTCAAAGCTGAATTCCTAGTACAATGTTTTAAAAGTTACCTACATTTTTTTGTTGTAGAAAATCTGATGCGTACTAATCAAGTGCTAATATCAATAGGCAGAAATCCTAGTGGATCCTCCAGAGGCTTTAACATTGAAGACGAACTCAAACGACTGAAGGAGGCTGAAAGGGAGAGCACCAAGCTGGAGATCGGAGACCTGCTGAGGGTACGAGGGACTGTCAAAACCTCCAGGGATGCGAGGGAGATCAAGGCCACCTGCTTCTGTAAGTGAAATGTTAAGGGATTTCGATGCACATAACATGTCTGTTTAATCAGTTAGAGTGAGCTTGTTTGTGGAACACATGGTTATTTAGCTGTAATCATCACTCTGGAGTTGTTTGTGTGTGTTTAGATAAAGTCAGTGACCCTGTGATGGCAGTGCAGATCTCGCATATGCTGGAAATGCCTCAGCTGTACAGGAAGTGCTATGATGAGCCGTTCCAGATGCCGAGTGATGACCTGGGTGGCACAGAGTGAGTCACACAAAATGGTGTGAATAGTATTTTCATGCCCCCAAAATGTTTTTTTTAGCTAGTTACATTTATATATTTGGCTGTGTAGTGTGTCAGTAGTAATATCAGTTTACATTTCCAAAAAAATTTTTTTGCCATTAAATGAGATTTTGGTATGCACAAGGAGTCTAACAACAGCCGGTATGATCCACACGTCATGGAGATCTGATCTCACCATCGCCAAGAACAGAAAAAAACTGAGACGAGAAAATAATGCAGAAGAACCGTGGCAACGGCTCCAAGACTCTTAAATCATTTTCTTTTTTTCTGTGTACAAAAAATAAAACTGGATTATTACAATTAATATCAAAAGGAATGTTTAGAGATGTAAACTGATACAGTATTTACTACAGACAAACTACAGCAAAAATATAAATAACTGGCTTAAAACTAGGGCTGGGTATTGACACAAATTTCACAATTCGATTCGATTTCGTTTCACAAGCTTGCAATTCTATTCGATTTCGATTCAATATTGATTATTTTGGATATCAGTTAAAATAAATGGCAAATCTCTTATCTAATGCTGTAAACTATGGCAGTCTAGTTGTAGCCTAAAGGCTTCATTCGCCTAATATGAAGGTAATAATGAACTGTTTTGTAGCTATACAAACACTTAAATTACACTTATTTATTTTTAAAGTAAGACAATTATATGAAATATAAACATTTAAATGGTGGCTGTCATAAAAACTTGCCAGATTTATTCAAACATGCATTAAATATTGAAGATTAAGATTATAATGCATATGTAATATGGTGTATATATTTAGCAAAATGCTCCTCTCTAGAGTTATTTTTTCTAGCTGACTAACGAGTTGATGTGGGTTTTCTGAGGTAAATATGACGATACATAACATTGATTACAAGCTGTTTAACTGACGTCTTTCCACGGTTGAAACGCTGATTGAGCGAATCAATGTGACATGATACGGATTTCGATAAGTTGTACTCTATCTTTTAACACACTTTCAGATGCTCATTCATGTTTATTTCGCGCTATGACTGGTATTAATAAGCCGGAAGGGAGATCAGCGCCAGAGCGATCTTCTCACGCCACAGCGCCAAAACTCTATTTATGTTTTTGAATTTCTAAAGAAAATGGACGTAATTGGAAAATTGAGACTTTGTTTCATATCAATACTAACAAAGGACAAAGATTTTTGCGATTTGTTTTTTTGGATGCGCGCAGCCGCGATACAATGTTCCATTCGTTCAAATAAAACAGGATGACTAATCGATTCTTGAGGTTCGTAAAAATGAGAATCCATTAATATCGAGAAATCGATATTTATAACCCAGCCCTACTTAAAACCATTTTTTGTTCCAAAAACATGTTTTTTGTTCCAAGCTTGGGATTTGAAAGTGATTCAGACCTTGAATTTTAAATGTAGGGCCTACTTGTGAAACGCATCAAATATGCTTTCTGTGCTTTTCAATTTTAATTACAGAGCAGGTGGTTCCTCAAGTTTCCACTATTTGCTGTCTCGGTCAATTCTCACCCTTAAGGAGTTCCTCTCAGAGAAAGAAGTGGCCAAGTTTCGTCCTTATGACGTCGAGTTCCTCTTACATCCACTGATCCAAAGTTCTTCAGCAGAACAGGTACTGGGCCTGACCTTGACCTCAACCTCCATTATACTCGATAGTGTAGTACCAATACAGCGTAAAAATGCCACTATGCAAACAGATGAATGCACAAGTCTACCAAAGTAAACTGTCCTTGTTCAATGTCACCACTCTTGGCTGGAGTATATCAGGATATAAGAGCCATGAATAACTTGTGGGCTGGTAGGGAGGATGTGTTGTGCTTTTTGATGGCAGCATGGTGTGATCGTCTGTAACGGTTTATGAGATTCTGCTAGTCTGGAGATTCAAGGACAGCGGCATACAGTGATGAGAAAGAAGTATGCTAATGAGAAGCCTGTCGATATCTTCATTAGTAATCAAACGAGAACGTACAAGAATGAATTTGTTAAAAGGAGCTGAAATGCTAATTTTGAATGGTGCAGCACAGAAATGTGATTCATTGTTTGGGTGACTCATCATTGATTTTCTTATTTTGCCTGAAGGAGTCTGATCAGCCCAGTACGTCATTGGCTACGCAAATTCGAAAACTTCTGAAAGAGACCCTGAGCGTCCTCCAGGATGAGGGACAAATATTTCGCAAAATACGGACCCAGGATGAAGTCTACAATGTATGTGCACAGTGCATACATGTACAGACACCTCTTAGCAAGTATGACATCGTCACAGAGAGAGAAAGAGAGAGTAGCAGTGGTTAATGTTACCTCAGGAGACTCTTAACAAAATTAAAGGGATAATGTGTAATATTCGCTTCCTACACATACTTTCTACTTGTAGGTCTGAACCCTTAGGATTTTAAAAGAGGATTATAATAAAAACCGCTATTAGGCTTTTTCAGATATTCCCTTTATAGTAAAGCTGAAGTTCATGATAAATGGAGATTCTGAGCTGCCTGAAATGAGTCGTCAGTAATTCTTGACTTGCTTCCAGCACAAAACGATATAGATTTGTAACAAATTTTCATAATGCCAACCTATGGCCATTGGCTGCCTGCGAACAACATCTACATTGCCCGAGACCAATCATCTGACCAATCAGAGCAGAGTAGGCTCTCAGAAAGGAGGGGTCATGCTGAGGTCATGCTGCAATGTATATTAAGATCAAATTTAAGTGTTTTTTGACCTTGGATACATGTAAAACCTAGACCTTCAAAACAAAAATAGCACAATAGGGCCGAAATATAATTTCTAAAACTACTTTATTATATTTGTATTACCTTGGCTGCTTTAGGTAACAGAACAAGACAAAGATCTTCACACAGCGATCAAGGACATTTTACGAGAGGATACCAAACGGGAAAAATGTGAGTTTCTTTTTTTTATTATTATTTTTTTTATATATTAGCTGTGTATGCATATAATATTATAGGGTTCAAATTATTTTGTATAATGTATAACTATGTAATTGATGGTTGTCTCAGGCTGTCACACTTTCAATTTGAATCAGTATATTTATTATATATATATATATATATTTATTCTTCATTATTATTTTATTTTTATTATTAAACTGTGTGCTGAATGGGATCATATACAAGCAGGTGCCCATTATTTTAAAATAAAACCTGATCCGAATATGTGAGTAGAGGACCTTTTATCTTCTTGTTGTTTTTGCAGATGCGGAGAAAGGATGCCATGTCCTACATATCTTGTCCAGCTTGAGGCAGCGCTACAGCCAAAATATGAGTCGAGAGGTGCTGGAAGTTGCTCTGACATTCTTAGAGTGCAAAAGTGACATAATAAGCACAACAGAAGCCCACTACATTGCATTGTAGCATCATTTTATAGCATCAAGTTAATAAAAACACGAGTGTTCAAAGCGATCATGAAGAAAGATTGTAACCAGACCCTTTTTTTATATAAATATATACAATATAAAAAAAGTTACAAATGGCATTTTGTTTCCTTGCATATCGCTTTTTATGGTTGAATGAAAATATACAGATATATTTACGTCAGCATTGTTCTTAATACAGAAATTGCCTCCTAAATGGGATAACATAAACATTTTACTGTTTAACCTTTACTTTCTGGCACTTTTAAAAATTCGAGCTCGACAGACCTAGTTCCCTTTGGCTTGGATATTCTTCAAAATAAAGCATTTTGAGTTCCAATGAAAAAAGCCATACAGATTTGGTACAAGATGTTATAAACGAGGGCGAGTAAATAATTCATTTTGGATACAAATGGGTCATGTAGTTACACTCAATGGCCATGGGAGTTCGCTGTGAGCAAATAGATACGTCACCGTCCGCGAGCACATCTGTATGTGCGCGTTCAGGTCTATTTATGCTCATTTGCAGTATGAGTAACAGGAATCACGTCTCACACTGTCCTTGATAATCTTAGATTATGGAGATTCGCAGCAGACCATATGCTTTTTTGTTTGTTTGTTTGTTTGTTTGTTTGTTTGTTGTTCCATTTACACTATGCAAAAAAAAAAAAAAGGGTTCATAATTAAACGTTCATCAAATGACTGTTCTTATCTACAGTAGCATATGGCATGCTTTTGTTACAGATATTGCAATGTTTTCCCTCACAATAGACAAACTAGATTTAAAGAAAGAAACAAACAAACAATGCATGCTCTGTAAAATCCAGCCATTGTCTCTTTTACGAAGGAAGACAATGATATCAACAGAACACTCGTTTCCCCCCTGTAGAGGCGCTTAAACTGCAACAGAGTCCTTGTCAAGAAGCCCATCCCCATTGCCCAAATATCCCAGACCAGTGTGTGCGCGCGCTTCCTGCCGAACGGACTTCGCGGTGAATGCGCCCCGGCCTTTATGACGCGCGCCGCCGCTCACGTTTGAGGAGAACCCCCAGACTTCAGCGGCACCGTAGTCCACACTAAAACGACGCGCTCGTTCCCTTATGACGCGTCAATCCGGATTTCAGAATGACACTCTAGAACACGTCTCGATTCGAATTCGGCTGGAACGCGGCGGTTCGAGAATCCGCTCTGCGCTGTGAGGGAAATGGATACGAGCATGTTCGTTTCCTGCAGACGGACATAAGTTTTGCCTCATTTATCACTCGATCTTCACTCGTCTAAGGGGAATAAACGGACTGACGGGCCGGGGGGCAAAAAATCGTTCGCTTTCATTGTGAGGAAGAACTGCGATTTTATTCGTGCAAACGTCTTCGTGACTGTCCATTTATTCAGTCTCTGTCTCACTACCAACGGTGCTCCCGAAGCCTCTGTTTTCACAATGCAGTTTCGGACAGTTTTGGATGTAAAAGTGGTGGATGTGGAGAAGAGGAGGAATCCATCCAAACATTACGTGAGTTGGCTACCTATTCACCTTGCGTCCTTCTCGAACCTGATGCTGGAGATAGGCAGGCGCAGAAAGACGCATCTGGATCACGAGAAAGAGCATTTCTGCAACATTAGACAAGAATACGTTTTGGGCTGATTCTGTTTCGTCCACTAAAAAGTCTGGGGGGTTACAGAGATTAAGAAACAACAAATCAATACATAAAAGAGAAGAATGACCTCAGATTGGACTCTTGGACTCACTATTAGCTAATTATATTCACTTAATTTGGCAAACGAATTAGATTTTAGTTCATCGTTTGAAACAACCCGTCAGCTATATAATTATTAAAGCATGACTTTAAATCTAGGCTACACCATATTATTCATTTTTCAATATTAAAATTCAATTGCAATCAGCTCATCGTTGCAGCTGGTAATATCAGTTGTGGTACGACCAATAAAAATCTGATCTCTCTCTCTCTCTCTCTCTCTCTCTCTCTCTCTCTCTCTCTCTCTCTCTCTCTCTCTCTCTCTCTCTCTCTCTCTCTCTCTCTCTCTCTCTTTGTTGTTGTGTGAAAATGGCAAGGAAAAAAAAAACATTGTTTCTAACTCCGTTATGCAAAATGGTGAGTTACATTAACATACCGGTACAAAACTATTTTTTATGAAAAATATTTAGTCACTTCACTAATGATTCTGAGGAACTGATCAATGACGTGCGTGTTTTTAGCTGGCGTCACGTTGAACTTTCTGTCACACTCATTTTTCAAGCAATTTAAGCTACAACTTAAGGATTTTGGTGGCTTGAAATAAATGTCCATATATAGTGGGAGTAGAAGCATATGTATTTCCTGCAAAAGATGGACTGTGGGGTTTGTTTTAAATATTTATGATAGCCTACCACTTCTTGCAAGCACATGCTAGACGATATAGATTAGCTTTAGACTAGTTATACATAAATTACATAGGGTGGATTTGGGACATTTTTGACATTTAGTCTAATAAAAGCCCAATTCTCATGAATGAACGAGTTCAACTTCATTATAAATTACAGTGCAATGTCAGTGCAAATTGATTGTAGTCCTCAAGTTTTGTCTATCCATTTATGGTGTTTTTTTTATTTTAGGGGTATTTTTGAATTTTTTACTTCAAAAAGTACCGTATTTTCTATGTAAATTATGCTTATTTTATGTTTTATTTTTTTTAACTACATTAAGATATCATTCCAATAAGTTCTTAGACCTAAAACCTAAAGGTGAAGTGACTTTGCTGTCACCTGGTGTCTTATTTTGGCTTATTTTAAAATGCTCTAAATTACAGTTTTCCCCATTCATTTCTTGACCCAAATACAAGATTAAGGAGTTTTTTTCACCCACTTAACATTGTAGAATTGAGTCAAAAAAAATTGTGTGTGTTCAGCAGGCAAACTTAGATAAAGTAGCCAAGTCTTATACCACTCAGATCAAGAGAAGTATTTTGCCCACATTTGTCCAGAATACGGTTTTAGGGTTAAAAAAAAAAAAGTTGGATAATTATTTGTTTTTGTCTTTGGCAAGTCCCCCCTTTTCTGTAAGACGAGTGTAACCAAAAATGTGCAATGATCATGAACTCAGAAGCAAATATATCTGACCTACTGTACATATAGTTCACGTTACCAATTAGCTTATTTATGATTAGTGACCCAATTAGTGCAAAATCCCAAATATTTCTTGATTTTTCATTCCATTTATGCAACAAATATAAGTTTAACTTGTCATAAAATCAGAGAAACCCAATTTAAACAGTAGCCAGTGAATCAAATATTCGGTCGTTCTTAACAACAGTACATTTTAACATCCAAATCAGCCCTTGACATTCATCAGTGGATGTGGCTTTTTGTTTTGAAGAGGTTCTTCTTCATGAGCCCATTGTCTCTAAATCTCCTAACCACCGAGAGCTTCAGAACTGTTCTCAGATCGACATTAGTGCAACATCCTCCCCCATAACTCTCACTGGAGTCATTTGCTTAGCCATAGATTCACTGCATTCTCTCCCGGGAGAGCGAGACTTTCGGAATATGGCCCTGTATCCCACAGGCTTCTTCGTTCTGTGGAAAGAGAGTAAAAAAAGAAAGGCAGTTGTTCAGTCTCATTAGTAATGTTTGTCAAACAGCTGGGTATGCTTTCCTTTCGAGAGAGAGATAGAGAAAAAGGAGGAGGGGAAATGTGAACCCACATGCCCTTGTTTTAATCCCCAGAAGCAACCCGACTTCCTCTCTTTGAATGGAAGCTTGGCTGTATTTAAACCAAGTGCAAAAAAACACTCTTTTCCTTCACAACGTTCTTTCCGCCCTTACATTGATCCGGGATGCATCGGTAGGATGATAAAGAGTGTACTCACAACCACTTTGGAAAAGAAGTGCAGGTTTGTCATCGTTAGTCAGCTGAGAGTTTGAAGTAGAGTAAAAATAGGGGATCATACGATGGAAAATGTCATGCTTCCAGACAGGAAGTGAGCGCTGAAACACTCCTCCGAAAGGTGGACAGAATTGGCATGCCTTTGTGGGAATATTGTTGTGTGTGTGAGACATGTTTTCTCGCACACTCATTTCATTAGTGAGCACTGGTTCCCAACAGAGCCCCACATGTCTCAAATGTGTTTGTGTGTGTGAACGCTACACGGCGCCGCCTTGAGGTTTTCCCTAGACAATCTGCTGTCTTGTCAGCTTTTGTATGTGACACATTTCCTTAGCGGTTTCCATCTGTTAACTCACACACAACGTTCATGCCACAACAAGCTATGAATCCTGATCTTTTGCCCAATGTAATGGCTATTAAAATACTTCTATTCAGGACAAAAAGGGATCAAAGCCATGATTTTTACACGGCTTTCTCTCTCTCTTTAGTTTAAACTAATAGTTCATACCAAATTTCATCCATCATAAAAGTAATCCAGTTACCCTTCATCTGGAACTCGACTCCTTTGTGAATGTTGCGGTCATTGTTGGAAGCCAGTGATTGTAGTCAGAGACTATTTATATAGAGACATGCCACTTCCTCAATCCTTAATACAACTATATAGGGAAAACCCATAACACCAAAGATGGGGGGGTGTATGCTCATGGCCCGCCCCTCCCACTGGAAAGCCAATCGTCTGCTTTTAACAGTCAAGCAGGGAAACATTTAACACCTGGTTCCACTGACGCATGCCCACAGTTGAGGTTTGCGACAGTGGAAAATATGTTACTGATTGAAAAAGCGGCAGATTTGAAATGTGTAAGTTCGACATCCCAACATGACATCATTTGCATAAACATACACGCCACTTTTAAGTCAAGTGGCGTGTTATCTATACGCATTTTGAGCTATCCACGTGTATTCGTGTATGTCTACGCCGTTAAATGTCCGAGTGATTCCGCGTGTATGTCTACGCCGTTAAATATCTGAGCCAAACGAAGCAAAATGTAGATCTACATCTGGGGAGCGATATTTTTTTTCCTAGAATGGTAGAGGAAGACTCATAAATGTTATTAACCCCAGTGACGGGTAGGTTTAGGGACGGGGTTGGGGTAGCTCATAGCTCATTCATAAACACGCTGAAAAGCGATTATGCGTGTTGATAGCACGCCAAAAATGGAAATACGAATTGGCGCGTCATACATAAGACATTTCATGCCAAATTAGTTAAAATCTAGAGCGAGCGAGCGGCAGCGTGTGCATGACAGAGAGCGAGAGAACCCTTGCGCATGCAAACTTGCGCAGTAAAAGTATAACCTGTGGGGGAAAAGGCGTTTTAAACCTTATTTTGGGACAAAGTCATCAAACATTTTCAGCGATTTTTTTTATTTTATTTTTTTTTTTTTAACATATTTTCTATACAAGCAGTTTTTGTCCCGATGACCAGTGAAAGTGCAGTTCTGAGTCTCTGCCCATTCATTTAGATAGGAGCCTGGTCTTGTTAGTCTGAAATAGCTGCCCGGAGGCATTGCCAAGATGGCGGCCGAGTGGCATGACTTGCCTAAAAGGACTTTGTTACAGTTTATTAAAGGTTCTCTAAGCGATCCTGGGTGTTGACGTTCGGAATATTTTCAAACAAATCGGAGGCTAGACCCTCCCTCCTCCGCATCTCATCTCCTCCCCCTCCCTTCCGTGCTTCCTGAAATAATTGCGAACGTGCATAATTCTAGCTAATTATATCCTTGTGTGGGTTTGGCGAACATAAGCGTCAATTTAGAGGAAAAAAAAAAAAACAATTTAACGTTACCCACCTGTCCAGCAAAAACAGAGCAACCTGAATGTCGGACTGGAAGCCCTTCTCCCGCCGGAGTTCTCGCCATCGTTCAAAAGCTTTGCTACCGATGTAAATTCGGAACTTCGCACGTTCTTTATCCGACTCCTTCTTTTTAATTTGTTCTTCAGAACGACGTCTCTTTGGTCGTGTGTCGGCCATTTTTCAAACTTCCCTCTGATGCTTCGCTCTCCTTCACACACACACACACACCCTTCATGTGCACGCGCACTAACCCCCCAGACCCACCCTCAAATACTTCTTGCCAGTGATTGGCTGGAACACTGTTTGTTAGGTTTCGTGGTCCGGGTGAGACATGATTGTTTTTGTTGCCGTTTGTGGAGCCTGTGTTGTCTGAGACCGCGTTTTTTTACAGTGTGTTTAGGGGACAGGCAGCTAGCCGATAGTGAGGAGACATTTGATGTATGTGACAAAAAATGTTTTGGCCCCACATCGCTTAGAAAACCTTTAAGTTTTAAATCAGAAGGGATTTATTAACCCACTGGAATTGTATGGATTTCCTTTTTGAGTTTCAAAAATTTGGGCACTATTACAAAGCTGGGAAGATCCAGGGCATTATTTAATATAACCGATTCTGTTCGGCTGAAAGAAGAAAGTCATAAATTATGGGGTAGTTTTGGGTGAACTATTTCTTTAAGGCAATCCATCGTTCTCTTTAAAAAAGGAAGAGAGAGGTAACTTGCAGTGCAATTAAATTGGGCCAATTTAAAATTTCTTCTGTTAAAACTTGTGTATGTA